AGAAGTCCCAACTCCTTGCCTGAGATTTGCAAACTAGCATTTTGCCACATTTCGTTTCAGCCTTCTCTCTCATTGCTACTTTTCTGACACAGTTGGAAGTACACGGCAGACACTTGGCATGGCGATCCCCAAATTCTTCACTGTACATTTCTTAAGAGCAAGAGCTGTAACTATAAAGATTAATAATTTAAAAATTGTTCAGTGATCAAACTCAAGAAATTTATCTTTGATGTAGTATTTTTTACATAATTTAAGTCTACATTCAAGTTTTGATAATTGTCCCAATTATGTCTTTTATAATGATTTTCATCCAGGATATAATACAGGATTAGATATTGCTTTTAAGTGTCATGAATTTCTTTCTTCTTACATTTTATTTCTTTATTTATTTTTACAGATTTATTTCAAAGGCCATTACAGAGATAAACAGGGAGATAGAAAGAAAGAGATTTTTCTATTTACTGTTTCACTCTTGAAATGGTTGCAATGGTCAGAGCTGGGCTGGTCCAAAGCTGGGCGCCAGAAGCTTTTTTGCTGGTCTCTCACATGGGTGCACTCGGGCTGGCCTCTGCTGCTTTCTCAGGTGCATTATTAGGGAGCTGGAGTGGAATTGGAATGACCGGAACTCAAACTCAAACTGGCGCCCATATGGGATGCTGGCATCATAGACAGCAGCTTCAGCTGCTACATCACAGCACCAGACCCGATTTCTTTCATTTTAACAATGTATTTGAAAGGCAGAAAGAGAGAGAGAGAGAGAGAGAGAGAGAGAAAGAGAGAGGCAGAGATGGACAGCAGAAGATCCTCTGTCTGCTGGTTCATGCCCCTTGTGAACACATCAGGCAGGGCAGGGCCAGGATGAACTGAGGCGCTGGGGACTCCATCCAGGTCTTGCCTATGGGTAGCAGGAGCCCAAGCACTGGATCACCTGCTGCCTCCCAGGGTGTACGTTAGCAAGAATCAGAAGTGGAGTCAGGACTCGAACTAGGTAATGTGATGTGGACCATGATGTCCCAAGTAGCATGAACCATGCAGCCAAATTCGCACCTCTGCTTGTCACGTCTCTGTTGCTTCGTTCCATTTGGAACATCTCTTTGCCTTTCTTTGCCTCCCGTGACACATGCATGGTGCAGGCCAGGCCATGTGTTTTGCAGAATGAACTTGGTGCTCATCTGGTCGTTCCTCCTGCTTGGATCCAGGCTCTACATTTCTTACAAATCTGCTGCGTGAGGCCATCTTGAGAAGTGGCTGGATCTTGTGCCTTCACTTGTGAATCCCAGCGAGGTGGCCAGACGGAAACTCATGCATGTCTATATTCCCAGGTCCCATGACTTTAGTTGCATTCTATGGGGGGGTTTGGTGTTTGGGTTTCAGTACTTCTTTATCAACTGGGTTGCTTTCCGAGCTTGTTTTGCTCAGGTCTTGGTGAACCAGGAAGTGGCCGAGTCAGGAAGGTCACAAGAGAGCAGCCAACCAAGAACCAGGGTCGTAGCAGTAACAACAGAACCCAGAAGCAGCTGCAGGACTATCAACAGAAACTGGGCTCCTGTCCAGTTCTCTTTCTTTTCACCTCTGAGGTCAGCCATGCATCGCATTTACTCAGGGAGCCAATGATCTAATCAAGAGGCTGATTTCTTTCGTCTTATCAGCCCGAGCCTCCTTGCAGCAGCTAGCAGCCCTCCATCACTGTCTCTGGACAGCAGGTATAGCAAAGTGGGAAAAGTTCTGTGGGTGTACCTTCACCCAGAGCTGGGCCCATGCAGAGGCCAGTGTCTACCCAGCAGGGGCAAATCGAAGGCGTGGCCTGCCCCTGCCAGCATTGTCCCTTGACTCTCTCACCCAAGTTATCTGCTCATAGTTCCCATAAGAAACCCACTCGGCAGGTGCCATGCACACGCCCACATCTGGGCTCTTTTCACAAGTGTTTCTATCTCCCTTCCATTCACTTGCAACCTCTGGGTTTAGTCCCACCTCCCCCAGGAAGTCCTCCCTGCCTCCTCCCAGAGGGGGAGTGGATGTGTGGGAGCACACCTGGATGGGCCGTGTCACTCAGCAACACTGAACACAAGCAATGTGTTTTACCAAGACTATGATGAAATGCTACAGCATCCTGGGATGAGCCCATGTGACTGCCAGCTTCCCCTTCCCTACTCCAGGAAAGCATTATTTTGAATTGGCTCCTGAGCTTTCCCATCCATGCTTTAAAATACACTTAATTCGTGGACAATTTAAGACTTACAGAAAATGACGAAGACAAGGAAGACATTTTCATTGTAACCACACCTTATTCCCCCTATTAACATCTTAGATTAAAATGACACATATACTGTAATTAGTTCACAGTAAACACTGATCTGTCATAACCAATATCCATACTTTACTTTTCTTTGGTTTGTACCTAAAGGCTTTTGTCCCAAAACTTCATCCAAGATGTCACTTTGTAGTGTCCCCAAGGCTCCCCTGGGCTGTGTTATTTTTGCAGATTTTGATGATTTTGGTGGGTTTGAAAAGCACGGATTTCTAGAGGTCTTCTGTAGACCAATGGAGAGTAATTTTTGGGTGCACCAAGCAGACAATATTTAACCTGCTTTACGAATTAGTTGCACAATTTACAGTCCCACCAGCAGGGTTTAAGAGCTGCTTTGCTTCGTTTCGTGCCAAGGCTTGTCTATTTGAAGAATAAGAAATGGTATGTCTTGTTGTTCATTGCGTCTTCTGTAACTGTGGTTTTAATTCACACTTCCTAGGACTCAGACACTGAGCATATTTTGGGGTGTTTATTTGGATCATCTGTCAATTATCTGTTTATATCTTTTGCCTACTGTTAAAGTTGTTCCTTTGTCAATAATGTGCTTTGTAAATTCTGGGTTTTTAAAACAATTCCTCCCGTAGGCAGCATCATTGGATCTTATTTTAATAGCGAACTTACTAATCTCTGGTTTTTCAATTGAAATGTTTACTCCATTTCTATTTATGTGCTTATTGACGTCGTGTGGTGTAAGCCTGTCAGCTTGCCATTTGTGTTGTATTTACCCCTTTTATGTTTTTGTTCCTTTGTCCCCGCTTGCTTGTATTTTTGCCTATTTGAAGAATGAAGAATGGTGTTTCTTGTTGTTCGTTGTGTTGTCTGTAACTGTGCTTTTAGTTCACACTAGTTCCATTTTATTCCCTCAATTGATTTCACTTGAACCTCTCTCCTGTAGTGCCTCGGTGCTTTTCAGAGCTCGTGCTTTGCAATGGCTTGCATCTGAGTGTGTGCTGCCTTCTCTTTGTGGGGAAGATTGGTGTCCCGTACTTCTCTCATAGCCAGCAGTATTCATCCATGCACTACATGCGGATTGAATATCTGATATGTACCGGGAACTGCACTAGGTGTTGGGAGTATAGCCATCAACAACAGGCATACAGCTTGTGATCTATTTGCAAGAATAGAAAAGTAGGGATCTTTTCCCAGGAAAGGAGATGTCTGAGTTGAGCTTTAAAAGCCGAGCAAGAAAGGAGTCCTATTAGTGTTGCAATGGTAAGGACACAGGCCCAAAGGCAGGCGGGACTGACAACTCATTCAGGGAACAGACTGAGACACTCAGCTGGGCGGGGTTGGCAGGAAGTTTTGGAAGTTTGGCAACTTCTTGTTTTCTTGCTGAATGAGGTTTTGAGACCTGGGCCTATGATGATGCCATCCCTAATGCTGATGAACTAAATCACAGGACATGTAGGTCAGACACTGCCCATTGAGCACATGCCCTCCGACTAACCAAATAGCTCAGTCTTCATGTTAAAAGGCTGATCTTTCTGAGGTGAAGACATTTCTGCTTGTAAATTTTGTCAAAAGAAAAAGAATGAGTGCGGAAAACTGCTCGTGTCATGCGGTGTACGGAAAGGGCATTTCCAGGGCACCTGGGCAAGGTGTGGAAATGTCCCTGTGTCAAGAGAGAGCCAGGCAAGATGCTCTCTCTCTTTGGCTATGCGTGCTGTGTGAGTCCTCTGCTTTCTCTTTTATGCAGTGGGGAACTGGTAGAAGATTGCATCTGAAGACACTGCCAGCTCTGACCTGCTGTGGGTCCATCAGCTATGAACAAATTGAGGGAAAATGGTTTAGGCAACATGTCTAGCCATGAGAACTTCTAGAGGGAACACCTCTCTCATCAGTAGCTTTTGCTTTGTAACAACAACAACAACAACAAAAAAAAAAACCCCATTTATTTAATCTTATCATTTTTGACTCCTGTGTATATAGAATGACGTGGCCTCTAATTACAAGTAACAAACCAACTTAACATCTTGAGTGAAAAAGAACTTATTTATAGGATTTTTGGAGGAGTTTGCTAGGGAGTCTTAGGACAAGAATGGAGCTAGACCTCAAGAAAGTATTAGAACAAGGATTAGGGAAACCTTTGGGGCTCCTTTTCTATGTGTTGGGTGTGGGTGGGTACAGAGCCGGGTGGCTGGCTTGAGGACTGGATGAACAATGCAAAGGAACCCATCCTCTGCCAAGGTTGTTTTCACAGAAGGCTGTGGGTCCAGACAGGGCTGGTCCTGATGGACAGCTTTGTTGAAGGTCTCTGGTGGAGATAAGTGGAAGGGCTGTAGATGAACAAACTCCTTCTATTGGAAGGAATTTGTAAGAGAAAGCAGTGAGTGAGTGAGTGAGAGAGAGAGAGAGAGAGAGATTTGAACTTTACTGTGTCATCCTAGGAAAGCAGACCCATTTTCCATTTTCTTGGCTCTCTTTTGCCATCTGAGACTCAACTTTGACCAAGGGCTAGCTCCCAATAGCAAACCTATGCCAGTTTTTCGCTCCCAGACAGTGCAACAGATAAACAGGAAGAGGAATCATAAATTCTCATTAACAAGGAAGCCTGAGAGTGCTGTTAAAGAATGTGGTGGAGCTCCTGGCCACATTCCTTGCACATGTGGAAGGTTCTGTAAATGGGGAAACTGGGTTTGGTTTGGGTGGAGTCTGGGAACCCTCTGTGACCTTGCCCCATTTTCTTTTGCAGAGTTGATATATCCCTAAAGGAAGAGCCCAGGGCTCCAGACTTCCATCAGGATGGTGGGTGATGCCCCCTATCTCATCTCAGATCTGGACCGGCGGGGTCAGCGGAGATCCTTCTCAGAGAGATATGACCCCAGCCTGAAGACCATGATCCCTGTGCGACCCTATGCAAGGTACATCAGGAGGGGAATTGGAGGAAGAGGGCCGGGACCTTAAGTGGGTGTTGCCTGCCTTTCAGGAGGGTGGGCCCTGCTCCTGCTGTCTTCAGGCTGTGTGTGTGTGTGTGTGTGTGTGTGTGTGTGTGTGTGTGTGTGTGTGTCCTTCCAACCACCCTCACGTTCATTCATCTGTTGACCACTTACTTTGTGCCCCCTCCTAACCTTTGGTGAGAGGAAGGCAGTAGCTGATGTTTAAGAAGAGTCTATATGCCAGGATCTGCCCAAGTGGCATGAAGCATTGCATTCATTCTTCACAGTCACCATGGAGGCACTGATATTATCTCTGTCTTATAGGTGAAGAAACAAAGGCTCAGAGAGTTTAAAAAACGTACGTTGGTTTCACCAGGTAGCATTTGCTTTGTAACCAAAAGCAATTGGTCTTTAACCTTGTAATTTTTTGGGTGGCCTGGAGAGTAGATCAGTTTAGACTGAGTTCAGTTGAGTGGTTCATCGGGTGTTGCCTGGACTTATTCCACACAGCTACTAATTAGCAAGGTGCATGTGTCTGGGGGGCCGGCTGGTTGACTGATCTGGGACAGTGAAGGCCCCTGGGCCAGGGTGGAACTCTGTCTCCAGCAGATCAGTCTGGATTTGATCTTATAGTGATATTGTCAGCTTCTGAGGAGCTGGGGGGAAGAAAATGGGCATCTGAAGGGTCAGGTTCACATTGGCACATCACCCACTCAACTTCATCCCATGGGCTAAATCACAAGTCAGTCCAGATTCTACCTCTTGACAGAATAAGCTGCAAGGATCTTGAATGCACATGGAGAGAGAGAGTGGGTCCTTTTGTAATTGAAGGTTATAATTCAGCAGCCTCACCTCTAGGCTTTCCTGCTTTGTGTGTGTAAAGGTCAAGGGTCTTCAAAAAATTCATGGGAACTGTGTGCTAGGAAGAAACCATGCATGGGTTGCAAGAATCTTTGCATCGAAATCAGCTCCTTTAATTCTATTTTCCATGATTTCTTGAAGTGCCTTGGTATATCCTTATCATGGTGTTCACGAAAGAACCATGAATTACTGCCATTTCCACATGACAGCAAGTGGCTAGCAGGCAGCTCTATATAGAAGTGAAACTGCACATGTGAGCATGCTCTAAGGTGAGAGCTGAAGGTGAGCAGGTGAACAGGTGAGGGCTTGGGCTATCACCTTAAGACTCAAGAATCTTGTTTGTTTGTGTTTTTATACAATTTTTTGGTAGGATTTCTTTATTTATATAAAACACAGAGAGAAAGAGGCAGGGAAAGGGAAAGGTGACAATGGGATACAGCGGCGTCATTGGTGTGAACCAGGCTAGGGCGGTGAGGGAGAACTGTGTCTTACCAGGTCACCTGACAAGTCTCTGACTTCCCACCCAAAGAATGTGAGCTGGGAACATTTGTCTGGGGGCTCCCTCGAGTACTGTTAGCTAAGGTGTGCCACTGGGGGCGGCAGCCCCCCTGCATTGCTGGCTGCTCGCGTGCTCCTGTGAAGATCCCAGAACAGATGGCGAAAGGAGGCCCAGCACACGATTGAGGCAGGACTCGGCCAGCATGAGCTCACAGGAAACCGTCCTCCTTAGCCGAGGTCAGAGGGTGTCTCCGACAGCGTCTGCCACAAATGCAGAGCTCCTGCAGGACCGGGAATGTCACCATCAGCCAGCACTCGGGAGAGGGCCTTCTGTGTGTCTGGCTTGTATTTTGCCTTAGATGCTTAATTCTTCAAGTTTTTTCTTCTTTCTTCCTTTCCTTCCTCTTTACTCCTTTCCCCCCTCTTCTTTCTTTGCTTATCTTCCTGTTCTTCCCTTCTTCCTCATTCTTCCTCTTTTCTCTCCTCCTCCCAATATCTCTACTTTCTTCTTTCCCGTCTTCTGTACCCTCTCTGTTGCCCTTCCCTACCCAACGGTGAGCCTTGGTTTTGCCTCCAGCTCTCGGGTGGGCCTGCTTTCTGTAACATGCCCTGCTGAGGAACCTCCTATCCCCCTAAGGTCAGATGGCACTTACTGAACTCTCTGCAGGCCAACTTGTGGTTCTCTGTTCCTTTCACGTGGACCAGGTACTCTTCTTTCCCATGAAATGGTTCCAAGGATCAGCTTTTGGTAAATGCTCCACAACTGGCCACTGAAAGAAATGTCTGAGTTGTTAATGTTTATCAATTTTTTAAAAAGACTTCTTTATTTGAAATAGTGACTGAGAGAGACTCCAACATTTAGGGGAAGAGAGAGAGAGAGAGATCTGTTGTTTCACTCCTTGAGCCCACAACAGGGTTGGGCCAGGACCTATGAACTCCAACTGTATCTATCCCATGTAGATAATAGAAACCCAAGTATTTGGGTTTCATCTTCTACCTTCCTAGGTGCATTAGCACAGAGCTGGATTGGAAGTCAGGCAGCCAGGGCTTGAACCAGGGCTCTGATAAAGTTGGCTCATGCAGCAGCCAACTTCCTGCTGTGCTCCAATTCCAGCCCTGTGTTGATCAGTTTTGGTGGTATGACTGCCCCCACCATGACTGATTTGTGGTTCCTGACATGACATCACTGAGAACAAAGTTGGGAGGTCTTGCTCAGTAGCTCACTGGTCTATCGTATTTCTACCCTTCATACCCAACAAGTACAGCTAACCTCAGGAACACAGCTGATGCTAAAATAATGAGGAAGTGGTAAGTTTTGATTATGATGAGTACGACTGATACCTTCTTTAATAAATGACGCATGGCTTCTTTAAGTCTATATAATCTAATTTAGAATATCAGCTATGTCTCACATGTGCCCTTGTATATCATTAACATGGTGTTCATGAAAACAACCATGGATTACTGCCATTTCTACACGGCACAGTTCCCCCACCGAGGGGCTGACGAGTGAGAGTCATGAAGTCCTAGCATGGCTGTGGTTAGTGTTCTGGGGGGTGCCAGGGTCTATCGCATTTGTCCACAGGCTGGCATCTAACCCGGTGGATGATGCAGGGCTCCTGTCCTTTGCCACCTTCTCCTGGCTCACACCGATCATGATCAAGGGGTACAAGCATGACCTGACAGTGGACACCCTGCCCCCGCTGTCACCCTATGATTCATCTGACATCAATGCCAAAAGGTACGCTTGGGTCACGTTGGGAGAAGAGTGTACCCAGGGAAACTGTCCCATGATCCCTCTCCTGGGCTTCCACCTACCCAAAATGCGTGGAGGTCCCTAGCCACAGGTGCTGGTCACCCTGCTTAATAGTCACACTTTGTACCTGGGGCTGGGAGGCCCAGATTTCTTGGCTCTATCCTGGAATGGTCCAGACCAGGCAGAGGTAGTGTGGAGGAGAAAGGTTGGGTGGAAGACTGTGGCTTGAGGCTGCAAGGATGCTCTGGTTTGTCGGTGCCTCAGGATAAACATACTTGGAAATTCAGATATTAGTGTATGTATGCATCCAGGCAGACTCCACCAGGGCTGCCTGTGTGGCTGAAGGCATCAGTTCTGTTTTGGCTTGAAGACCTTTATTGGACTTTGCTATTGCAAAATGTGTTTGGGTGCAAGCAGCTGAAACTGTCCAATATTTGCCAGTCCTGACCTGTAAAAATGTAAATGCCACTGACTTAACCTGTTTGCTATTCAGGACCAGAGTGTGAAAGTGACAAAGGTTAAGCAGTGGGGGCACCTGCCGCAGCCCTGCTGCACTACCTCGGATTATAAACACCAGGCAGGTGTGGTTCGGTCTAGAACTTCCCTGCTCTAATTAAACACACCTTGGGCTACCATTGTCTACAGATCAATACTTCTCTGTCTCCACTCACAGGTCGTGCTTTTCCTCTTAAACAGAAAAGGAAGTGTGCCAACTGACTGTCCATCACTTGGCTCTTTTCAGCAGTCATATAAAGACCCTTCGTGTCTGCAAGGAGACCTCAGCTGCCTCCTCTCTAACAGCTGTAGTGACCTCCAGGGCTCCCATGGCCTGGGCTGTTTGGACAAGGGCATAGTGGTCAAGGCCTTTGCACCCGTGTCTCCAGGGAGTCTCTTTGTCTTGGGCCATGTGGGGGTTGCCTTCATAGCACGGGCTGGGTGTGTTAGCTATGGTCTTGCAATTGCTTCTGAAACTTCATCGCCCTTCACGGATACCCTGGAGAAATCTCAGCTGGTGACAATTTCTGAAATCTACATACATCCTGAGAGAAGAGTGTTGACCGTGGGGTACCCATGGAGCCTTGGGTTTTCTTCCTTGGTTATCATTGTTGATTTTCTTTCTCCCAACTTCCAACTGGAAGCCTCTTTTCTGGCATGCTGTCTGCTCTGCTGAGGTGATCTCTACCACTTGGCAAAGATTCAGCTACAAACCCACGCTGACTCCTCCATACGATGTCTGCCTCACACCCAGGCCTCTCTACCAGACTCTGCATCCCATTGCACGGCTGCCCTGGGGTGCCTTATAAGCCTCTTTAACTTGAGTGTTACCCTCGATTCTGGGCCCTGACTCTGTATCATTCTTATCTTCCTCTTTCCTCCTGCTTCACACTGTGGGTCATTTGGGAAATGAGGATCCATTCTTGGCTTCTCCTTCCCTCCTGCGTGTGATTCATCAGTGAGTGCTGTGGTCCCTCCCGGTGCTCTTGTCCTTAGATCCACTATTTTGCTATGCTGTGTGTGGTTCAGCCAGCCCCCTCCCGGTTCTCCTATGACCATCTCTGGATTCTGCCTCTGCTTGCTCATGATCCATTCCCTTCTTTTTCCTTTTTTAAAAAGATTTATTTTATTTTTTTCACTGGAAAGGTGGATATACAGAGAGGAGAGACAGAGAGGAAGATTTTCCGTCCGATGATTCACTCCCCAAGTGAGCGCAACGGGCGGATGCTATGCCCATCCGAAGCCAGGAGCCTCTTCTGGGTCTCCAGCGCGGGTGCAGGGTTCCACAGCTTTGGGCCGTCCTCGACTGATTTCCTGGGCCACAGGCAGGGAGCTGGATGGGAAGCGGGGCTGCTGCGATTAGAACCAGCACCCATATGGGATCCCGGGTGTGCAAGGCGAGGACATTAACCATTGCGCTATCGCGCCAGGCCCGATCCATTCCCTTCTAATCAACCAAGTGATCTGATGGGAATGTGAGATGATTTTGTCACATTGGTTAGAGATGGGATGAAGATTTGAGTCCCTTCTTGTGCCCCGTGAGGTCCTACAAGACTTGGCTGGCCTTGCCTGCTGGCTCTTGTTAGCCCCTCTCCTTCATGCACTGTTCTCTCACACCGATCTTCATTTGGAACTTGGAAATGGATTCTGTCCTCTATGCCCTGGGGAAGCTTTTCCTTGATCTCACTATTGCCCTGGGGTTTTATCAGACTTGGGGATTAGGCAAACAAAGGACTAGAAAGTGCCTCAATGTCCAGGCATCATCTCCTTGGCTCCACCCGCTTAGGAAAAGAAGAAAGCAGCGTCAGTGCTGTGGGTGCTGTGAGGGCTGAGGGCGGGATCCTGCCCTTTGCCCACCAGAGGAGCGTGAGGCGACTCACAGGGCTGTCAACATCCCTTGCCCCTTGCTGTCCTTCGGCCACAGATTGCGAATCCTTTGGGATGAAGAAGTGGAGCGGGTGGGTCCTGAGAAGGCCTCCTTGGGCCGAGTGGTCTGGAAGTTCCAGAGGACGCGTGTGCTAATGGACGTCGTGGCCAACATCCTGTGCATCATCATGGCGGCCATAGGGCCGGTGAGTGGGGGAGGTCCCTCTCTCGCTTCTTCTCCCAGGTGTCCAACCTGACCAGTGGTGTCATTAGTTACTTCCTCTGTGAACTGGTGGGCTTAGTTGCACTGTCATTATCTTTGCACTCCTGGGGGCAGATTCTCACAAAGCTCATCCTTGGTGAGTGCTGCAGCCACCACAGCACTCAACTAAAACGTTTGCCTAGTAAAGTCAATCTGTGGGTTGGGTCCGAGGCCACCCCCAGCGCCCTTCCTCTCTCTGCTGTGCTGTTTTACAGACGGTTCTCATTCACCAAATCCTCCAGCACACTGAGAGCAGCTCTAGCGAAATCTGGGTTGGCATCAGCCTGTGCCTAGCCCTTTTTGCGACTGAGTTTACCAAAGTTCTCTTTTGGGCCCTTGCCTGGGCCATCAATTATCGCACAGCAATCCGGTTGAAGGTAGCTGTCTCCACCCTGGTTTTCGAAAACCTGCTGTCCTTCAAGACACTGACACACATCTCTGTTGGTGAGGTAAGCCGGGCCGGAGGGAGGCCAAGCTTAGCAGGTGGGTTCTGAGTTTCCTGGATCAGTGTGAGGTGAGCTTTCTGGAGGGAAGCACCTGCCTCCTTTGGCTTGTGCCGGTCCTGCCCACGGTGCTCCCTGCTGAGACTCCAAATGCCAGCAGAGGCAGGGCAGGGAGCTCCATGCCAGCTGGCTGGGGGGGACTGAAAAGGTTTCTGAGTTCCAGCTGGAACAGGGTTTGGGGTGACAGCATCCAGCCCTTGGGATGGTCAATGTCAAGACTCTGAAGCACAGCAGAGCACATGATAGGCACTTAGTAGGACCATCCTGATGGGCCGATGGACAAAAACTCCCAAGTTGTGGAGCACTTGGAGGTGGCAAAGCCTTGGTTTAGAACATGCCTATTGGACTTCAGAGTTGACCTTTTCTTAAGCCCTTAATCCGTCCGTGGCAATGAGATCCTTCCCACCTATTTGAGAAAATTTCCCTAATTGAGGAACTCCAGGCGGTCTGACACAAGAGGAAAGAGTTACTTCTCTCACACAGTTCAAGTATACTCAAGCCATTTTATATTCATTTATGATCAGATTCAGCTCTCTATATAGAGCAGACACCCTATAGCAACACGATGAATTTATTTCACTGTAAATAAAAGCAGTCTGGAAGAGGAAGATGAGGGCTAGGAGGTGGGTTTCCAGAACCTGCTATCTTTCTTCATCAGTCATTGTAGGACGTGGTTACCAAATTGGTTCAGAGTGGATGCTGGGGATCCAGCCTTCTCGGTCACATTTTAGATCTTGGTAGGAAGAGGAAGGGGCCAAAGAGATGCCTCTTCCAAGTTGGCTCCTTTCACAGTTCATTCCAGGGGAGGGCATTTAATGTAGTGGTTAAGACGCCTGTATTCCATATGGGCATCTTCCTTTTGACAGCTGGGACTGACTCCTGGCTTCCCACTGATGCAGTCCCTAGAACCAGCTGAAATGGCTCGAGTGATTGAGTGCCTGCAGCTTGACAGCCTTGAACTGAGCTCTTCTTGGTGTCTGACTTTGGCTCCTGGCACCCCACCCAAAGGTGCTGTGCACATTTTGGGGATGAACCAGTAGATGGGAGCTGTCTGTCATCTATGCACCTATACATCTATCTATCCTGTCATCAGATCTATCTTGTGTATCGATATCCTCTCTCTGTGTGTATACGTTTGTTTGTCTTCCACATGAAAAACAAATAGGATTCATCCCAGAGTCCCATCCCACATGTTGACTTATATCCCAGCATAGTCTTGCCATTGCCGTAGTCACAAGGGTACATTTCTTCCACAAAGTAGGCTGGGGAACGCAGCTGGGTTAATACTGAAGAAGGCGAGAGTGAATACAAAGCAGACACTGGCAGGCCCTCTAGCATGCGCCTAGATAGTGCTGCTACTTTCTAAGTTTTCCCTGAGATTCTCGGTCCTCAAAGACTGAGCTCTCTACAGCCACATCAGAATGGGAGCCCAGAATGCATTGTTTGGTCCACTGATGATCCTCTGCAGTTTCTGTCTTCTCGCCTGTGACCCTTTAGACACTCGGAAATGCCTTCAGTTAAGGTAATGCTTGAGTGACGCTTCCAAAGCCTGAACTCATGTGCTTTCTTTACAGGTGCTCAACATACTATCAAGCGATAGCTATTCCTTGTTTGAAGCTGCCTTGTTTTGTCCCCTGCCAGCCACCATCCCTATCCTAATGGTCGTTTGTGCGTTGTATGCCTTTTTCATTTTGGGATTCACCGCTTTCATCGGGATATCCGTGTATATCGTATTCATCCCCATCCAGGTAATGCTGGGCCTCTGTAGCTGTAACTGCTTTACCCACACATGCACCTGTCAAAATGGGAGTGCTGACACCATGTCCTTCTTCACAGACTCAAATCTGCATGCTCTGGGTGAGCCTCTCCAGCTCTCCCAAGTCCCCAGCACGTCCCTGGCATCCTGACAATCCATTCCATCAGCTGCTCAATCCCTGCTGACTTCCCTCCAGACTGATCAGTGGCCTCCATTCCAGCAGAAAACCCCGGAGAGTCTCAAGGCAGCTTTCCTTGGAACTTTGCCTGGCACCAACCCGCCAATCACTCCCATCCCTGGATTTTTTTTTTCCTTCTTTTTTTTTTTTTTAGATCAACTGCAACTCTCAGCAGTTCCCTCTGAATGCAATGTTTGTGTCTTGGTTTCAGATATTTATGGCCAAGCTCAATTCAGCTTTCCGAAGATCAGCAATTTCAGTGACAGACAAGCGCGTTCAGACAATGAATGAATTTCTGACCTGCATCAAGCTGATTAAAATGTATGCCTGGGAGAAATCTTTCACCAATACAATTCGAGGTAGGCGGAGCCGCTCCTGGCAGAGCCACTTGTCCTGGAGAATGGGCTCTACTGAGGGGTGTTTGAGTCTCCCTGCCTGAGTCATCCTGGTAGGGACCTCATGGAGATCTTAGGACAGGCTCAGGCACCTGTTCATGGTGAGCCACCGTGCGTTGGCTGGAGTGTGGAGTTCCCAGTATTGAGCTGCCAGGAATAATCCACTGGAAGTTGGTGAGTGTGAAAATAGCTGTCTCAGGCGACTACTTCCTGGACATAGGCAGTGCACACACACACACACACACACACACATACACACACGTTTATACTCTCAAATACACATGCTTCATAAGGTTGGTGGAAGGTGGAATTAAAAAAATGTTTATCTGGATTGAAAAAGATTTTGAAAGGTGTGCATGGTTTTTGCATCAGGTGCCATCTTGAAGCTCCCGCCTTGCTCTCCTGCTCGCTGGTAGTGGCACCCCCAGCACACCTGCATGGCCACTGACTCAGTGCTCCTTCCACAGAGGCGAGGTTGGGTTTGCACCGCATGCTCCCCTCTTTTACCTACTTGCCTTGTGATGGATGTGTGGGATGAAAGCCATGACGAGCATGGTGAAGGCAGGTTCGCTCTCTTTTTTTTTTTAAGTGATATTGAAACTTTCAATCAAATATAAATGCAAATCTAATTGCAAGGACACTTACATAATTGCTGACATGGACTCAGGTGGTTGGCCATTTAATGATCTGAATCCCTGTTAGAACTGACTCCCTGGATCTGCAGTTATACTTTGCACCCACGTGTGATTGGAGCCAAAGCTGTCTATTTACCCTTGAGAAAGTGGCTTTAGAAGAGCTGCTTCAAAACTTGCCAAAGACTGGGACACAGGTATCCCCACAGGCCCTCTCAGAGGACCCAGGAACACTCCCTGACACTCTGAACTCACTTCAGTATGATCCAATTCAAGTTGAATCCATTGGAATTAATCAAATTCACCCAACTGAATCTCAAGCAAGTGCTTTAGTTCCGTCAATATATAATAGATATTCCTACTGAGTGTGAGGCCACGGGCCTGGGGCAAAGGAGTTCCTGCTTTGAAGATGAAGGAAGGATGAGATAACTAAGTCTCAGAAGAGCCACAGTTTGTTGGCTCCACCTCCAGAACACACCCGGAACCCATCTGCTACCCTGCGTTCCTCTGCCACCCCAGGGCAAGGCAATTGCCTGGCCCTCCGGGACTAGGGCCAGAGCCCTTGGCTGCTCCCTCGACTCTCCCCCGCCTCTCGGCATGCCATCTGCACCCTGCAACCAGAGTGACCTTTAAAAAATGTCAGTCAGATCCTGCAGGAAGACCTGGAGTGGCTTCTGATTCTCAAGAAAGTCTTTGGAATGAACCTTCAATTCCTCCACCGCAGGGCCTGTGAAGTCTGGCGGGACTGGGCCCCTGGCAGCCTCCTTGGCTCTCTCACGGTGGACCCTAACCTGTGTCAATGGGCCGTGCTGCTTCCTGCCACAGGACCTTTGTACCTGCTGTTCCCTCTGCTGGGAAATTGTTGAATGGATAGCCACTTGAATTGGTATCCATGGGGGAGTGATTCTCAGACCCCTAGGGATGCCCAGATCTGCAGATGCTCAGGTCCTCTATAGAAAATGATGCCACACTTGCATAGTCTTTTCCTGTACTTTACAATTGTCTCTAAGTGACTTCATGCAAAGTTTACTATGTTATTTAGGGAAAAATGACTAGAAAAATTTCTGCTCATGTCCAGCATGGATGCAGATGCTCTGATGCACGGCGAAGTGGATCTGCAGGTTCAGAGCCTTATAACTGAGACAATACCAACCATAGTTTACAAATGGGGAAAACACCACAGGAGGAACTCAGAAGATCTTAGGGGGCTCCTGGGGACACACACCAATTTGAGGAGCAGTGCCAGAAAATACTTCTAGACATGGTGGATTTCACATAGGCCTTAAGGCAGGAGAGGGTTTGCACACTCAGAAAATGGGGGAAGCCCTGGCCTGGTGGTAGTGATGTGGGGGTGCACTTGGGCAAAAGAGTGACTGGGTGTTGTTTGTTTGTTTGTTTTGAGAAGGGTATGTGAGAAGTGGGTTCCAACCCTACCTTAGAAGGAAATGGCCCTTCATGGGTGACGCCTCCTCCGGTGGTGTCAAGGGCATGAGAAGTGCCCCTCCCTCAGCACACCACTGAGAGACAGTGGCTGCGGGGACACAGCGGAGCCCCAGGCACGTGGTGAGCACGTGGTAAGGGCAGCTGTGGCTGTCCCGTGGCTGCAGTGAAGGAGATGCTGCAGACGAGGCTGGGGCAGGGCTTCAGGGCAAGGCCCGTAAGTGTCTGAAGCGGGAGGTGTGAACTCAACTTGTGAGCAGTGTGGAGTTTGGGACATCCTCCCAGCTGAAGAAAGGGAGAGATGCTTCCGAGTGGATGGCTGGAGTAGGAACACCCAGACAGGGGTTCCAATCAGGTGGGCTTCGGGCCTGCATATGTGTTTTGTGTGGCTGCTCAGGTGGCTGCCAGTGTTGAGGCATAAGGAAATAGCTCATTCAAATCTAGATCTGAGACCCAGGAAGGGGCAAGGACCCAGCATCATGGGGTCTCACCCCCCTCCCCATTCTGCTGCACCTGTACATTCCCTATGGAATTACCCTCTCCTCTGCTTCAGTCCTTGCCTGGTCCCTGGAGGCATCTGAGTTTATGACTCCTAGTACACAGGGTGTCGGGCCTGGGAGGGACCTTGGAGCTCACCCAGGAATGGCAGCTGATGTGCACCGAGCTCCTGGCTGATGCTTGGTTTGTGCTAAGGGCTTGTGGGGCTCATTTAAACTCCACACCAGGCTTCCTTATCACTATTTGGAGGAGGATCAGACGGAAGGTCACACAGTTTCTACACACTGACTCTGGGTGTGCACAGGGAGGTGATTCTGAACTGTTTCCGCCTTTGTAGATATAAGAAAGAGGGAAAGAAAATTACTCGAAAAAGCTGGATTTGTTCAAAGTGGAAACTCAGCCCTGGCCCCTGTTGCGTCCACCATAGCCATCGTACTGACCTTCACCTGCCACATCCTGCTGAGGCGCAAGCTCACCGCCCCTGTGGTAAGAGCAACTTCTAGATCTGGAGTCTTTTGCACCCTGTCCTTGCCAAGCCCCAGGCAGGAGATCCTGCCTCACCTTCTCTCAACATTGGCATCAAACCACCCAATCACAATGGACCACAAGTCAGTCCCAGCATTTTGTAAGTGCTCGGGCTGGCAGTTCAGGTTGTAGCAGGCGGTGATTTTACATTTGGGGGAAACCTGAAGTCAGAGGTGTGCTTGGCTTTTTGGTTTGTCCTGGATGCTATTAGGAGAGGCAGGAAATTCTTATGGTGTAGGGAGTTGTGGCTGTCAGGACAAGCAGTGCTGGCATTGGAGTCTCGGCTCAGAAAGCAGCTCTGCCTTCTTGAAATTCAACACTACCTCTCCTTTGCCATGAGTGATGGCAAATGATTGACCCTCTCTCACCTTAGTTCTGTTATTTGTAAATGGGGTAACAGTCTTTCTCCATGCAGGGGTCACTCCTGAATGGCTACTTTACGTTCCAGCCTATGGGCTCTGCCCTGGCCCTCAAGTACTGCATCAATTCTGCTTTCCTTTTTAGCTTGATTCTTTGGCCAGGCAAGTGTATGCCAAACAAACAAACAAACAAACAAACCAAACAAGCAAAAAATCTCAAAAGGGAAGTTGGGTTAAGTGTGAGAAGTTTATCGATTGATTAATTGCAAGGTAAGGGAGGCGCCTGAGCTATCCAAGGTGAAGAAAAACTTGATTGGAAAGAAAGAGATTCTTGATTTATATAAAGGAAATGGCTGGCGTATTAACGCAGTTATCAGCAGAGCTAGAAATGGGAGGGGATGGAGGCAAGAAAAAGAGGGAGAAAGTGCTGCCCCCAAGGAAGGGGTTCTGGGCCCACGCAGGGGTCCTGTCAGAGAAGGTCCTGTCAGTGGCCTCTGCTGCCACGTGTCACTTGGGCAGGTGTTTGTTTTCTGCAGTTTCTGGAAGGTCATGGCTCACACACAGTTTGCTCTTACATCCCCCAGGGGCTTTGAGCCCAGCCATGCATTCAGACCCATGGAGGGTATAATAATAACATGCTTTCCAGGGTTCTCAAAAGAAAAGTAGTTTTTCTCCAGAAACAACACATCAGGTAAACTAATTTGAAAACAAATTGAGTGCATGCATCACAATGGCTTATGAGAAATATAAACCAAAGCCAGATGACCCGAAACCAAGTTCCCTTAGTCTTTGAACTCAGAATCCCTTGCGATGGCTTCCTCTGCTGGGGCTGGGTTAGAAGGAATTAACTCTGTGGTGCCTGGTTACACCAGGCAACCCTGGTGCGTTGTTAGCTGAGGTCTGGACTCCCCGAGCCAAGAGGGCACTTTGAATCCTGGGTAAGTGGGGGTCAGAACAAGATCAGACAAGCACATCCTCCATCACTTTGCCAACTAATAACAAGGATTAGTGAGGGCTGGGGTGGGGAGTGGTTTCTATCCAGGGGGTCCATTTGATAGCAGGCAGAACTTGTCGAAGGAAGCTTTGTTATTAAACTGAAAGAGCAGCTGGAGAGGATGCTAATTACAAGGTGGACAGGTGGGAAGATGAAATTGGAGAGGTGTGATTGCATACCCTTGGGACTCCTGTAGGTTGGAGGAAACTAATCCTGGTTGGGGCTTCTCCACAGCAACTATCCATTTCATAGGGCGCCATGAGGAAGAATCCCCCAACAGACAGAAGAGATTACTTTAGGATTCATTGTTAAACAAAGCCTCTGAAATCTGCCCTTGGTGTGTGGAGAGGCCAGGCCCTGGGAGCAGGAGAACCAGAGGGACAGCTAGCAGGAACTCTAGAAGATTCTTCCAGGTAGCTGTTGCCTTCATGTGTGATGTTGAGAAGGATGCTCTAACTCCGGAGAGCCTGAAGAAGAACTGAGAGCAGAGGCTGATGTAGATGAGTCACTGGACTAGACTCAGGGAGGGACAATAAAGAGATAGGTGTTCAAGGGAGTATAGTTAGAGGCCACCCTCAGATCTTCCTTCCGGGTTGATAGAGACAAGGGAATATATGTCCTACTATCTTGTTGCAAATCAAAAAAGCAAAATGGGTTAAGATGCCTCTCTTGCTAGTTTTCCAGCACATGGTTGCTGAGCCAAGAAGGAGATGTTGTTTCTGTGTAAATTCCAACTTCGCCACTGAATGTGTTCTTAGCTAGTCTCTTGCACCCATGGGTAGAACAGGTGAGAGCCAAGGCATCTTCCCATCCTAACTCTTTATGCCTCTCTTTTGCTCTTCAGGCATTTAGTGTGATTGCCATGTTTAACGTAATGAAGTTCTCCATTGCAATCTTGCCTTTCTCGGTCAAAGCAGGGGCCGAAGCCAATGTGTCTCTGAAGAGAATGAAGGTATAACTAACACTGGGTGAGTAGGGAAGAGACATCTCATTCCTGGGTGGGGAGATACTCAGGTGTGGGGTGGTCGCAGCCATGCCCTGGAGGGCTAGGCCACTTGTCGGGCTGGTGAGGGAGAGACGGGAACCCCATTTGGAGTGGGGTTGGTCAGTGTGCATGGCGTAGGCAGCAGGGCTAGCATCCTAAGCCATCTTCCCTTATAGGAAAGACAGAATCCCTGGAAATGAAGGTGATGTTCTTGACTTTCTCTCTGCACTTCATCCAAGTCCCGAATCTTCAATTGTCCCATAGGTGGGGATGGATTTACTCCTTGTCATCTCCTCTTCACCTTCTTTGTCCTGTGGTGGGTGGGGGGGATAGAAGTCATGACCAGCATGGTGGAGGCGCCACATTTATATTTATTTAGTCACTGTTTTCATTCATTCAGCAAGGACTCCCTGCCTGCCTTCTATACAAGGTATGTGGCAAGTGAAAAATATAAGAGAATCTCTCAAAGGCTCCACTCCAGTAAGAATGTCAGTGACATGCAATATGATTTAGTTATTTATTTTTTTTTTTTGGAGTTCATGTGAGGACAGAAAAAGGAGAAGAACATTTGGATAAAACAAAAACAAAACCTTGTATGTTCAGACATCTAGGCTTTGATTAGATGTTATTTGCCCCGGCCAGACATCTGACCGTCACCTTAAGTCTGCCTGATTTCTGCACCTTTTTTCACTTCTAGCTAATTGAGAGCTGGTTGAGTCACCGTACTGTCTCAATTTTAAGAGGCACCATTTCAATATAGAAGGGAAAAGTGAACTGTTGGGTTGACACTTTCGGAATAAAGTATGAGAATCAATGCCATCGTGTTAACTGTATCTATTATGATATCAGCGACGAAAGGATTCTTTTCAGACTTGGGAAAGATGGAAGTTCTTGAATCTGCAATCTCCATGCTGTTCCTTTTGCCTGTACCTGGCGTCTCATCATGTCCCGTATGGACAAATCCAGGGATATGTCAGCCTGGCCTCCGCCTCCAGCCTTGTCCTCTGGGGGCACTCAAGCCCCCCCGAGGGCTGCAACATATTGGTTTAAACACCAACTCTCAGCAGCTTAAAATCTTTGAACTCCTGTCTCCAGCCCCCATCTCTAGGCCCTCCACTCATCTGCCATCTTGATCTCAGTGCCTCAGTCATCCTGAATGTCTTGCTTTCTGTCCCCACCCCAAACGTCATGCCTTGGCCCACATGGTGCCCTCCATGGGCACACTCTCCTCCCTTTCACTCGACAGCACCAACCATTAGCTTAGGCCAGTCATGCCAGGTCAATTTGGACCTCCAGGGTGGGAACCCAGATACCCCTTTCCGGGAAGTTACAGTGCATGTTCTGGTCTTCTGCTAAACTTATCTCCTCAAAGACAAGAACTGTGCCTTAGTTAGAATTGTGTTTCTACTGTTTGCTCCAGAGGCCATGACAGGGTGGGCACGTGGCAAAAACAAAAGTAATTGTTGAACTGAGTTGAATGGGACCCTAGGAATAGCACACAGCATGTGATTCTGCACTCCCAGGCATCTGTGCTGCACAAGCGAGTCTACCACCAAAAGAGTGGCACAGACCACCTGTCCTTGGTGTGAGGTTGGAATGTAGCTGCGATCAGCAGTCTTCAAAGTGGGTGACCCAAATAGGGCTTGTGGTAAGGGGCCTCTGTCCCAGATAGGGTGAGTTGGTGAACTATTTCTGCTTCAGCTTCTGTTGTGGGAGTAACTTGAGCAGCTCCATTGTGGGTGTCCTGGTAGATTGTCAAGGTTATGATTTGAGGTCATTGGAAAATACATTGGAATGGCTCTTGCAAATGGGTGATGTCTGCTCAGTTAATTTTGTCTCTTTAATCTTAGAAAATCCTCATAGCTAAGAGCTCCCCATCTTACATCACCCAACCAGAAGACCCAGATACTGTCTTGCTTTTAGCAAATGCCACTTTGTCATGGGATCAAGAAGCCACCTGGAAAGGTGACCCAAAGAAAGGGCAGAACCAGAAAGTGCAGCCTGCAAAGGAGCAAAGGCCAGAGGTGTACCGTGAGCGGAGTCCCTCAGCCCAGAGATCTTTGGGTTCAGAGGAACATTCTGGCAGTCCCAAACCGGTCCTCCACGACATCAGCTTTGTGGTGAGAAAGGTGGGTGTGTCTGGGAGCCTCCATCCTCTTCCACACCTGGCATGGCTGTGTCTACCTCAAGGCCTCTAGCTTGAGCTGGAGATAGTGGTGATAGTGGTGGGGATCTCTATTCTAGTTGTTTCCTCCTCTAATTTTATGTTATTTTAAAAATTATTTGGCTGGGGTCTGGTACCAAAGGTGCAGTAGGCTAAGATCGCACCTGTTGCACTGGCATCCCATATGGGTGTCAGTTTTTTTTTTTTCTTCTTCTTCAGCAGCTCTACTTCCCATCCAGATCCCTGCTTATGGCCTGGAAAAGCAGCGGAGGATGGCTCAAGTGCTTGGGTCCCAGAACCCAGATGGGAAGCCCAGAAGAAGCTCTTGGCTCCTGCCTTCAGCCTGGTCCAGCTCTAGCTATTGCAGCCTCTGGTGAGGGAGCCAGCAGAGGGAAGAGTCTCTCTCTGTACTTTTCTCTCTCTCCCTCCCCTGTCTGTCCTTCTCTCTCTTTCAAAAAAAAATATCTGACAGGTAGAAAGAGATCTTTCATCCACCGGTTCACTCCACAGCTGTCCACAACAGTGAGAATCAACCTTTGCCAAAGCAACAGAACCTGGAACGTCACCCAGATTTCATATGCAAATGATAGGGACCCGGTTGCACCTCCCAGGGTTCACCTGAGCACAAAAGTGAACTGGAAACAGCCTGGACTTGATGGGATGTGGGTGCCCCAAGTGGCATCTTAAATGCCAACTCCACTGACTGCCATTTTGAATAGACATGGCTAGGCTCAAACTGACTAGTTTTCATAAATCTTTTGGATTTGTTCTTAATATCATGTTGGCCAATTAAGACAGATAAATAATAACTGATAATTAAGAACACTTGCTACGAGTGTACTTCAGCAAATTATGCATGGTGTTCAATTTTTTTTGCACCAAAATGAACTTCTAATCAATTTTAATTAGCTAACTTTTAATTTAATTAATTGTAAGTTCACTTTTACACAATCTTGGTGAAGTACCCTCATATTTGCCAGGTGTGCAATCCACTCATTTAACCACCACATTATTCTCACTTTGTGATGGAAGAGCCCAAGACACAAGCAAGTTAAATAATCGCCTAAGGTCGTGTAACTGGCAAGTGTCAGAGACTCCCCAGCAATGTTTGAATCAGAGACCTGGAGGTCAGGGGCCTCAGGTCCTTTCTGCTGAAGACAAGAATGGATCTAGAAGACTCGTAGTCAACCCCAAGAAGTGGGTGAGAGCCAGAAGAAAGCCAAGCACACGGTTAGGCTTGTCTGTGATCTGTTGTTCCCATAATGTCACAGTTTTCTTTTTTGAAGTGCTTTGAATGGAACTGGAAAGAACCAGCTTTGTTGACAGGTGGCTGCAATGACACTAGGGGCTCTGCCAGGGCAGAATTGGACTGACTCTGTCCTGATTGCCATTTTGTCTCTGGTGCCCATCCTGGTGCCTGACGTTCATTAAAAATGTGCCACAGGACTCATTGACAGGCGCTGGCAACCTTCACATGCCAAGGTGTGGTAGCAAGTGAAGGGCCTTTCTGGTCTAGCGTAGGTTGGTAAAGGAACCACATCTGATCCCATGTTGGAGTTCTCCAAGGGACTGCATGAAGCAGGTCAAAATGAGAATGTTCTTGGATATTCCTGCTGCACCACTCTCTCTGTCAGCCGTCGTCTCTGGTAGTCTATATGGTTTCATCTGCTCCCTCATCTTTTGCAGGTCTTACTGAAACATCACTAGAGGCAGGTGCTGTCTGTGACTCATGCACTTCGGACTGCTGGTGGCTTCCTGGCACCTTGCCACTGCTGGACCTGTGCCTGCCCTTGGGCATGTCACAGTACTTGCAAAGCCCCAGGATCTTCCCAGCACAGGGAGCAGCTCTCCCACAATCACAGTTGGGCTGCTTTAAGCACCAGCTTCTTCCACCACAGAGCTGGGTGAAACCCCACCCAGCTTCTCAGATTTCCTTGAGTTTCCCTACAGCAATGAGCTGTGCTTGCCTCCTGTGGGAACTGAGCTCACAGCATGTCCTTCGTAGGCTGCCTTGCTGTTCCTGTTTCACTGCCTCCCTTTTCCTGCAGGTGTTTCCTGCCCCTCCCAGCAAACTACACTCACTTGCACCCGTGATTCAGGCTCTGCTTCTAGAAGACCTCAAGCTAAGATATCTCCCTCCCCATGAAGACCTTATCTTTTATATTATTTTTATTGGAAAGGCAGATTTACAGAGACGAGACACAGAGTGATCATCCATTTGCTGGTTCACTCCCCCAGTTGGCTGCAACGGCTGGAGCTGAGCCAGTTACACCCAGGAGCCAGGAGCTTCTTCCGTGTCTTCCACATGGGTGCAGGGGCCCAAGGATTTGAGCCCTCCTCTGCTGCTTTCCTAGGACAAAAATGGGAAACTGGATTGGAAGTGCCAGAAGTAGGGAGTCGAACTGGTGCCCATGGGGGATGGCGGCACTTACAGGTAGAGAATTAGCCTGTTGAGCCAGCTACCAGTCTCATGAAAGCCTTCTTTGTACTCCCACCATCCTTTTCTCTTCTTTCCTGGTTTAGTTGACTCCCTGACGTGCACCTGACACTCTCCCTGTGTTATTGGCTTATCTTGCTTTTGTCCATTTCTGCTAACTGAAACAGAAGTCTCATGGGTCTGTAGTCGATGCATTTTGCCTGTTGTGGTCCTTTGGTGCAGAAGGACTTTTCAAAAGTAAGCAGAAAGTCTGTACTATGGGAAAACTACATATGGAATACAAATGACTTTGCATCAAACTTTTTTTTTTTTTTGATTTCATTTCCAAAGTTCTTGACAAGCAGTCCTCAACACATAGCAGATGCTAGTAGGCATTTGATGGCGGAACCAAAAAAAAAAAAAAAAATCTGCAGCTGCAGAATCCTCGAGGAGCCCAATATGTTGAAGTAGTGTCATTGTTTGGGGGTTTTAATGAATTGTTATGGTTCAGGAATAGAGAAAAATGACTTTGAAAACGTGCCCCCGCTTCTTGAACTTCAAAGGCTGCCCTTGTCCTTTGGTCCCCTGAGCTGCACAGCCTTTCCCTTCCACTGGCTTTGCTTTCCTGGAGGAGGCTGTGCAGAGGATCACCCTGGTCTCCAAGGCCTGTGACTCCCAGACTGGCACAAGGCTGTTTCACATCGCTGCTGGTACATGATCTCCAGAAGCCCTCTGGGTTCTCTGCCATGCTGAGCAAGGAGAGCACTTAATTAAGACTTACATCCCTGGATGCTCCTTGCTGTGTGGGTGGGGGTTGGAGTGTGAGGCTGCAGCTGGCGCCCCACTGAGCAAGCAATGACAGTTTGGTTCCCACCAAGTTGAGGATGATTCCCCTCTCTGGCCCTGGACCCTGAAAGAATTCCAGCGGTGACTGTGTATTGTCTCTTTCCCTGCCAGGGGAAGGTCTTAGGAATCTGCGGGAATGTGGGGAGCGGAAAGAGTTCCCTCATTGCAGCCCTGCTGGGACAGGTAAGCCTGGTGGGGAGGGCTGCCAAGTGGAACGTTGACACTATGACCAAGCTGTTCCCTTCCTGCAGTATTTGCAGCCCGTTAGGACATGGAGCCAGTGCTTGGGTTGGCTGCCCTGGATTCTGGGCATATTGTTGGTGCTGGTGGCTGGGTAGTTAATGAACTTGACAGCTCAGAGCTCCTCTGAGCTTTTTAACACAGTTGTGGCTTTGAACCTTGGGGGCATGTGCACAGTGGTGGCTGCTTCTCTGCCTAGAGCTCCATCTTGGTCAGAGAGCTGAATCATCGGATCTGTGGCCTTCCTGTGACTGGGGCTGCACAGATGGGGAAATGCCAGCAAGGCAGCTTGGTCTGGGATGCAATGTGACTGTGGATTATGTCTTTTTTCCTTGTTTATTTTCATGGTTCCAGCACCTGCCCTGGTGTCTGCCCAGAGCAGATGCTCAACCTAGCCTGCCTTGGTGAAGGAGTGGCCAAGTGAATGCACACACTAGTGCAGGAATGCAGTCCAGGCTTCTCTGCAGATCTTGTGGTTAGAAGATGCAGGAGCCTGCGCTCTTGTTCTTTCCAGGTCACCTGAGGCTGTGTGTCCCCAGGGGAAAGACTGAGGGCATTTCCAGGATCCATAGGCTTCCATGTTCTCACGGGTTCTAAATCATATACTCAATGAAAGAGAAATTCTCTGGAGGACAAATGCTAAGTTTTCTTTTTCTTCTCTCTACTGTCCCCAAGAACAGGTTGGGAAGTTGAGAATGACAGTGCTAGGATGAGGCTGGGAGCCTATGAAGAAGTAATGGTACTAGGCTCAGAAGGAAGGGTGGTATTTGACATGCTACACTACACGTCGCCTCTTTTGACCCCGCTCAACTAGTCGGTACTAAAAATGGAGGCAGCCATGGAGGCAGCCAACCCCAGGGATTCAGAATGCGTCTCTGTGATAATCCTGGAGTCGGCAGGCTCATTAGAGTTGATCCAGCCCAGTTCTCCACCTTCCAGCATGTGTCCTCTGGATAAGCCAGGAGATGGTCCAACCTGCTCTTGTGATCCCTCCAGCAATGGGGATCTCATTATTTCACAGCCAGCTCCCTCTGGGAGAGTTTTGATGTTTATCAGGGTATAATTTGCCTCCTCTCGACTTGCATCTTTTTAAAACTTCTCTGAGAAAATGGAATCCATCTACTATGAGACTGTGGTGGCAACAGGCCCCTCACCACGGTGACACACAGGATAAGTCCCTGGGACCCCATCTGCCTGGGTTTGTTCGCCTAGCTCAGCCATATGCTCAGTGTGTAATCTTGGGCAAACAGCTTCACTTCTCTGAACCTTGACTATGAAATGAGATTTCCCTATTGCATGCAAGGGCTATTGAGCATTGTGGTAAGGCTAAATGAGATACTGCATAGAATGATCCATTACAGGATAATTCCCCATGCCAGTCCTGGCCATCAGTGCCTTACATGCACGCAAGGCAGTGTGTGGACTACGCTCTCCACATTTTAGTTGCTATGAATATTCACGTTGTTGCTCATGGTGTCCCTTCTCCCAGTCTGGTGTTCTTTATTGCTTGAACCATTCCTGCAGTGAAATGATATCACTGCCTTTCATACCGGGGCTGCCTTGTGGCTGCCTCCTTTTCCACCTGCAGACACACTTGGGCGGATGGCAACCCTGAATTCTGTGGCCTGTTCTTCAGGTCTTTGCTGTGAATGGATACCTTCAGACATTGTATCACCATTCGTGTTCACCAACCTTGTAGGGCCTTCCTTAATGATCTATGTATGTCAGGGACACAAATAGAAGCTTGTGCATTTTTTCCTAAAGATTTATTTATGTATTTAAAAGACAGAATGACAGAGAAGAGAAAGGAGAGAGAGAGAGAGAAGGGGAGAGAGAAATCTCCAAATGGCTGTAATAGTGTGTTAACCTGCTGTACTGCGATGCCAGCCCCCAATGCATGGTTGTTTGTTCTTTTTTTTTTTTTCAAATGGGATCATTGATGAGTGTTTGTGAAGTCCAGTTGTTGCACGTGAAACTTGTTTTTCCACTCCTCTGGAACAATTTGAAGCCCTGGTCATTCCAGGCCTGTGTCTTTGCAAGGTACCCACTGTGCGACTCAGTCAAGGCTGCATCCTTGAGATGAGGCATGCATGCCAGGACCACCGGCCCCAGCACTTCAAGCTGTGCTAAGCTTCCCAGAGCCTGGCTGACAAGGTTCAAGTCCAACCGGTACATGAGGAAGAAAGGAAGCCCTGTGTCTTTGGCTGCTTGGAGAGCATCTTGCTGCTGTTGGCATGTTACAGTATAACTCGCTACTGCTTCCTCCCTAATCCTCCTTTCATGGACTTTTAACCATCTGACTTTGAGATCCCCAAATGTATGGTGACATTTTGCAGTGTGTATGTGTGTATGAGGGGGGGAGGTATGTTCAGGACATCTGGTCAACCCTCTTGCACTTCATAATTAGTGCTTATGAGTGGTGGAACCTCATAGGCCATGGTGGGGAAGTTCTGGGGTCTGGCTTCCAAAAGTCACGTGATTCTGTTTTTTCCAGATGCAGCTACAGAAAGGAATTGTGGCTGTCAATGGAACTTTGGCCTACGTCTCACAGCAGGCTTGGATCTTCCATGGAAATGTGAGAGAAAATATACTATTTGGAGAAAAATATGATGAGCAAAGGTAATGTCAGCCTTGAAAGCGTAAGGCATGTCCCTGTTTGGTGGGCTCGCTTCCAGGTGCTGCTGCCATTGGTGAAGGTGGCTTAAGCAGGTGGACAATACATCAGACCATGCTGTCATTGGTTATTCTCTTCCTGTTCCATGTGTTTAGGCAAAGCACCTGATGCATACTTGTGACTCAGTTCCAGGACCAGGCACTGCATGTCCTCGGGTTCCTGGGAACAGGGCACATGTTGTCTGATTGGGAGAAAGCGAATCTGACTGTGTAACTTTAGGCTGAGTAGCCAACACTGTTGGAGCCATGAGCAGCAATGAATCTACCTTGGCATCAATAATTGATGTCAGTACTGCCAAGATGAATTGTTGTCATTGTCCTCAAAATGTTAGAAGCAGCATTCAAGTCCTAATGGTCTGAGTGTGCTCGCAGTGCTGGGACTTGACTCTCATGTGAAACCCTGGGAAGAGAGCTTGCTCAGATTCTTTACCAAGCTTGGTGCGGGGTCAACACAGTCTCCTTTGACTTTTCTAACCGCCTGTTTCTGGGGCATCCTGGCACTACCTCCCCATTCAACAAGGTGGAGAATCTTAGACTCACAAAGGCATATTGACTCAGCCAAGACCTACACTAGTCAGCAGGAGACTCAGTCTTGGGTCTCCATCTTGAGCACCACACATTAGCATCCTCTGTCCCCATTGTAACAGCCTGTCTGGGAGTCATCCAGGAGCCGCTCCAGGCACCATGTTGAAGTAGAGAGAAATGCAGCTCACTCCAGGAGTAAGCTGTTGACTCCGGGGGTGGCTAGGACTTCCTCACCGTACTGTCTAAACCTGCCAACACTGCCATGCTGGCTGGTATTGGCCATATGTGGGCTCCCAGCAAGAGGCCTGTTGCCTCATCTCCTCCTTCCTGGCTGTGACATCCTGTCACCAGCACGCTCAGGTGTGGCAGGCAGGTCTGACCAGTACAAGCGTACTGAGCACCAGCCAAATCCCTCAGCTCAGCATCTCTTGGCCCTGGCTGCCTTCACCTGCCACATGGAAGGCCTTCTCAGTCTGCAGAAACAGCCAGATAAGAGGGGTCTTTATTCAACAGGATGTTTGGTGAGCAAGCATGAAGGTGTTTTTAAAAGGGGCACAAAAGTTACAATTCAAAGATGTTTATTCTGGTTTATTTTTGGAAATTCATGCATTTTTTTTAATTAGCTGCATGAGCAAGGAATTCAACAATATTATTCTGCAGTAAAGCAGACTTAACGTTCCATCTCTCTTTCCCCCAGGAATTTTAAAAACACCCTTGATTTACCAAATGGTTGTACCACACAAAGCATAACGGGGGACAGTCATCTTGGCCCTCTCAGTGCTGAAGTCTGCCAGAGGCTATGAGAGAAGGGCAATGCAGGAAGAAATTGCGTCATGAGCAACAGGAGATTGTGTGCACTGCTCAGTGGCCATCAAGATCACAAGAGGGTGTGAGATCAGGGAAGAGTGGCTCCTGCACTGAGCTGTAGAGGATGGACCAAGCATCCTTCCCATGAGGCATCTTAAGCAGGGTTTTTAGGGGAAATTGTGGCTTCAGAGCAATAGGAAGGAAGGAAGTGGGAAGAAGTTTAAACCGGAGCTTGGTGAGGGAAAGGAGAGGTGCTGGTCAGCCTGAGCATTGCTGCTGAAGACAGTCCCAAGGCAACGATGCTACTGCCAACTCCCACTTGATAGGGATTTTTGCAATGCTCCAGACATAGCACTAAAGGCTGTCCGTGTGCACTCCTGAACCATTCTCACAGCAACTCAATGAGAGTTGCCAGCCTAGTTTCCTAGACTGGAGAGTGAGGGTCAAGGTGATGCTTGTCCAAGGCTACGCAGCTGCATAGAGAGCCACATTGTTCTCATTCCAAAGTCCCCGATCTCAGGCATTGTGTATTCCAGTCCTACAGTTGGTCCCTGGTCTGCATATACGCTATGCTCCAGGTGTTGTTGAGTGCTGCCATATGCCTCTGACCACTGACCCAGGCTGACGGCCCTCTTCCTTACTGCTCTCTCCACTCATCGGGACTGTGTGTTTTGCAAAGTGTGGATTGTCATGCATTGAGGGGAAAGGATACATATATGAACCAATGCATCCATCAGGCTCCATGAAGGAAGGCAGCTCCTCAAACATCAAGGCTGATAGAAATGGAAGGCCAAGCAGATGTGCCTGGCAGCTGCTCAGCCAGGACACACGCCTGGATCACCCCTGGACACACAAGGTGGTCAGAGCAGAAGACATTGTTTTGGTGGGGCTTTCTGGGTGGGGTTAGCATGCAGATAAAGCTGAAGGAGAAACTGGGCTTTTCTCACAATGTTGGGTCTGGATATGTACTTTCGACCTTTCTAGGTGCTCTAGTGCAGAAAGTCCTTAGGGCTTGGCTGCTGTCTGGGTTGAGTGGTCAGGTCCGCTTTGGCACCAAGGCTCTTGAGGTACTTTTGTACTTTGCAGGATCTCATCCCAGCAATTTGGCCAAAGCAGAACTTGTCAAATTCCCCAATGACTGGAGCTAGATGGTTGGCGATGTGGGATGGATAGGGGAGCAGACCAGGAAGGCTGAGGGGTCTGATTATGTTCCCATGCAGCCTCCCCCACTTTCAGGAGGCATTCTTTAGGCCTTGGTGTTCTAGGCAGATATTGGGGTGCCCTTCTGTAATCAGCAAGCTCTGAGCCACCTGCCTCCAGCTACCCGTGCTCTCTCCTCCTGGCCTAGCTGTGGCCCTTTGTTCCCTGGAAAGCTGTCCCCATGGACCTCAGCTTATGAGGGTGGCCCCATCAGAGGCTGGCCAGCAGTCAAAGTCCTCATTGTCCTCTTCAGGGGGTCCAGGTGTATGTGTGTCATCTTCTGCAGGTGGAAGGAACCCTGCCAGGCAGGGGAGGGCTGACCCTGAGTCAGCCCTATATCAGGTCTAGGGATCAAGGGAATACCCAAGGCAGAGCAGCTGGCCAGGGAGCTGTGAGCCTTGACCTTGGTGCTACTTCCCTTGTCGCAGTCGTGCCTTTGGGGCAGCCCAAAGCAGCAGTGCTGGGAGTCCTGCTCACCCTGCTGCCTCGAAATCTTTGTGCCCGCAGGTATCTACACACGGTTCGTGTCTGTGGCCTTCAGACGGATCTGAGAAGCCTCCCTTACGGAGACCTGACTGAGGTGAGTGCCACCTCACAGTAGCTGCCTAGCCTAGGGCCAGAGGACTGGGACCAGCGAGCTCCTGCTGCAAGTTCATGTGCACCAGAGGACAGAGAAATGCCAGCCCATGTGGACCAATTCCAACTTCTGCCCATCCTGCATTGTGCATAAGGCATCCAGCTTTGATGGATGTCACGAGGGGAGACACCAAGACCACTTCCTGAGGCTACTTTTGGTTTGTCTGGCATGTTGGGAAATGTTCTAGTGAAGTTTCCTTCCTCACCTCCAAGGCTAGCCAGACTCTCCAAAAGCAGGGTCCCCGGGTGTGGCATGAAGACCTGCTTCAAGGCGTCCTGCTTGTCTCCCTGGCTCTGCTCAGCCAAAGAGTGGGCACTTCCAAGCATTGCCTCCTCTGCTATCCCAGGGCGCTTGTCCAAAGCTTGGTGCTCAGTGCTGTGCTTGAGCCCTGCTGCCCTCCCGGGCTGTTCTTCTACCTGCCTGCCCAAGTGGGTATGCCCCTTCTAGCCTCTGGGTCCTTGCCCTTGCAACTGTTACAATTGTCTGAGTTGGTACTCCAGCTTTCCTCCTTGGGGAAGTTCTCCCCAGCCCCTCTGCATTCCCAGTCTGAAGCAATCTGGCACAGTTCTTCATTCGTGCTCCTCTGCAGGCTCTAATTCAGTTCTGCCTTGTGCCATTACTATGCATGCATGCCACTAATTACCCCTGCTGTAAAGGGACTCCTTTTGCCTAGGGCGTGTTCTTGCCCAACCTCATGTGGTCTGCCCCAATATCCAGCTCAACACCTGGTTGAAACATAAGGAAGATGCGCTTTGGGCTCAGTTGGATAGAATCCCTTTGAAATAAGCAGCCAAGGCTTTACAAACTTTCAAGGAAAAAATTTCTATGCTCATCTGGCCCAGCATGGTGTCAGGTGTCAAGGATGTGATGACGAGCATGAAGACCAGGGTCATGTCTGGGCAAAGCCCAATGCTGTCTATTATGGGGGGAATGGTGGAGTGATCTGTGCTCCATAGGGAAGGAGCAAGTCCCCTGGTCCCTCCTTTTCTAGCCATCTCCTTCCATTGCCTCCAGATCACAGCGCTGTTCTTCCAGTGTACCAACACTTCCCTCTGAGCTGATGGTCCAGATGTGGCTTTCTGTGGAGTGTTGGTGGTTGGTAGAGTCTCAAGAGCCAGGTGCCCATCCATCAATCAGCATCAGGAAGAGCCATGGTTGCCAGGGCCCACCAGGCTTCAGGGAGGAGGGAGAAGAAGCTGAACCTTCCCTTTGCCAGTGTCCATTCTGTGAGGGTGGCAGGAAGCTTTTGTCCCCTGAGAGCTGCAGCACCACCATCCTTATCCTTGTTTGCAGATTGGGGAGCGAGGTCTGAACCTCTCCGGGGGACAAAGGCAGAGGATCAGCCTGGCTCGTGCCGTCTACTCCAACCGTCAACTTTATCTGCTGGACGACCCCCTGTCGGCCGTGGATGCGCACGTGGGCAAGCATGTATTTCAGGAATGCATCAGGAAGACACTCAGGGGGAAGACGGTCGTCCTGGTGACCCACCAGCTGCAGGTGACTGGGACACACAGGGTGCACGAGGCCAAGGGCCAGGATGGAGAGTCTCCTGCTTATAGCTGCCTCTTCCATCCGAGGCTCAGAAAGGGCAAGAGGAAGCTGGAGACACAGAAGGCATCTATGACTCTGTCCCCGTTGTCTGGCTTCTGTATAGCACCGCCTGTCCTGGGCACAGCCTTGACCAGCCCTGCCTTTGGGATGCGTGGGCAAGGCCTTTCCTCCACTAGGATCCATGAACCCTAGCCCGTGGTGGTAGAGATGGGGACCCCTCCTTCAGCTCTGGGCACCTGGCAGTGAGTGAGAAGATGGGAAACCAGGAGAAGCAGGCACACTCCACCCTTCTTTCAGCCTGCTCTGGCAGGCCTGAGGCCAGGGGCACCTTACATGGGAGGATGGCGTTACCACCCCACTCCTGCAGTTTGCACTTGAGTGCTGTCTGGGCTTCCTCTGAGAGGGTTTTGCACCCTGCAGGAAGCTGGGTCTCCGTAGAGCTCCTGTCCTTAGGGCAAGGTGGAGGAAATGGCTGGAGCTCTGGAGAGGTGACTGGGAATGGTTGTGACCCAGCCAGGCTGTAGTGACCATCCTCTGGGAGATAGACCTTATGTCCTCTCCAGCTCCTGTCAGGGGTCCTGGAAATCCTTGGGGCCTGTCTCATCCATGACTCATGTGAGTCAGAACTGCCCCTCTGGGAGTCCCCATGGAGGGGGCATTACAACCTGGGGATGCTGAGACCCACCCACCTGCAGTGTGACCCAGGCAAGAGGGACCTTTGCTCCAGGCCACAGCCTTCTGCAGGTCGCCTTTCCCAAGGTCACTCCTGTCTGGTGAAAGAGGCAGGCAGCCACCAGGTGGCTCCAGACTCTGGGTCTGGCCCACTATTGTCCATTGTATTGTGTGTGATGGGGAGGAGGGAGTGGGGGACTCAGGCTTGTCTCTGCTGCTTTTATTCTGGATGCTTCCGAGTGCCCTTGGAAGGCCATGGGTCCCCAGCCCGGAGTCAGATTCCAGTGTTTGAGAGCAAAGCCATTCAAATCTGCCTACTTGCACCTGAGTGAACCCGGGGCTGGCTGGCCAGAGGGACCTCCACCTCATCAGGAGCTGCAAAGCTTAGGGTGTGGGGCTGCCATGGGCCCTGCACTGCCTCAGTTGCCCCATCTGGAATATCAGCTGCTGATAAAGTTGCCTGCTGGGCTGTGGAGTTGTAGAGGACCAGGAGGAGGTAAGAGACCAGACCATGCTGCAGGAAGTAAGAAGCCATTTACAGGAGTGAGAATTTCTTTTTTTGGAAGGAGGCTCTGTCAGGAAGTGACTGCACTGGACATTAAAAGCCAGTCCGTTGCTGCTTGGGCTGTCTGCACCAGTGGACAGGGAGGTGGCAAGGATGGAGCTGTCTAGGTTGTCAGACCTGCACTCCTGTCTGGGACACAATCACCCCTTGTAGCTCCCTCTTGGTCTTTTTAAGGATGTTCAAGGTTGGTCTGACCTTGATGGGAGCTGCAGTATAGGAGAAGTCCCCTGGCCCATTTTATAAATGCTTCTTTAGGTTATAGCATCTTAAAAGAAAAATCACAGCAAAATCTAAAATATTGCCCCAGCTGCTTGCCTACCACTAGGAGGGGCTTCCTGCTTTCCCACAGGTTGATCCTAAGTGAGGGGACAGTTCCTCTGTCACCTTCCAGAGTGAATGAGGAAGCCCCTCTTGGCATAACTCTTTGATCACAGGAATGACATGGAAATGGAGTTTCAGTGAGCAAAGCAGAAGCACTCCGGGTAGAATACGGGCTGCCAGGGGCAGATGCAGCTCTCTTTCTGTGGCATAGCTGAAGCCAGGGGCTGTGGGTTCTTGCCTTGGGGTCTGCATCAGGGTCTTCTGCAGTCAGAGGTGGCCCTGTGATGCCAAGGGCCATCATACACGCCCCACGTGTCTTTTGCCACCATCAGCTGAAGCAGAGGAGGGTGCTACGTGCTTCCCATTGAATGTCAAACCCTGGCGTTCACACTCGTGGGTGCCACATCAGGGCTCCTCCCTGGGGGGTGTTGGCAATGTCTGGATGTAATTTTTATTATTATTATTTTGTTGGAAAGGCAGATTTACAGGCAGAGGGAGAGACAGAGAGAAAGATCTCCATCTGCTGGTTCATTCCCCAAATGGCCACAACTGCTCAAGCTGAGCAGATCTGAAGCCAGGAGGTTCCTCTGGATCTCCTGTACACGTGCAGGACCCAAAGGCTTTGGGCCATCCTCCACTGCTTTTCCAGGCCACAAATAGGGAGTGAGATGGAAAGTGGAGTAGCCAGGACATAAACAGATGCCCATATGGGATCCTGGCGCTTGGAGGTAGAAGATTAGCCAGTTAGGCCATTGTGCTGGCACCGAGATTTATTTTATTTTATATACTTATTATTGCTGGTCACAGTCAGTGGGGAAGGATGAAGGCTGGTGGGTGAAGACTCCTAACTATGCCACAGAGCACAGGCAGCTAAGAATCACCCGACCCTTGCATGATGGTGGTGAGATTCCCCTTGGCTGGTGAGCCAGGGATGCCTGTCTCTCCCCAAGGTAGAGCACGCTGCGAATCACCCCTCTACTTCTGCAGTTCTTGGAGTCTTGTGATGAAGTCATTCTGTTGGAAGATGGAGAGATTTGTGAGAAGGGCACTCACAAGAAGTTAATGGAGGAGCGGGGACGCTATGCCAAGCTGATCCACAACCTCCGAGGCTTGCAATTTAAGGTAGCACTGGTGCGCCTGCGTGGTGTGTGTGTGTGTGTGTGTGTGTGTGTGTGTGTGTGTGTGTGTGTGTGTGAGTGTGTGTGTGCGTGAGTGTGCGTGTGCAGGTGTGGCAGGGACTGTGGATGGTGCTCTGTCCCTCCTGATATCTGGACGGGAGAGGTGCTGTCATTCAGCTCTCAGAAGGAATGTCGTTCTGTCTCCAGGACCCCGAGCACATTTACAACGCGGCCATGGTGGAAGTCCTTAAGGAGAGCCAGTCGCAGAGGAGCAGTGAGGATGCTGGTACACGCAGAGCTCAAGCCCCGGCTCTCCTGCTGCCCTAGGCATCTGCGTGGACCCAGAGCTCTCTTTATTTCTTACCCTAGCTTTGGCTCCAGGAGATGAGAAAGAGGAAACAAAAGAATCTGAAACAACCTTGGAATTTGGAGATGTCAAAGGTATCTAGCATCCATGATATACACATTTATTTTTGAAAGGCAGATTTACAGAGAGAGAGAGAGAGAGAGAGAGAGAAAGCTTCCATCTGGTGGGTCACTCCTTAGATGGCCTCAATGAGCTGAGCTGGTCCGAAGCCAGGAGCCAGGAGCTTCTTCTGGGTCTCCCATGTGAGTGCAGGGACTCAAGGACTTGGGCCATGCTCATTGCTTTCCTAGGCCATGAACAAGGAACAGATTTGGAAGTGTAGCAATCAGAACATGAACTGGTGCTTGTAATGGATGCCAGCACTGAAGGTGGAGGATTAGCCTGTTACGTCGTCATACCAGCTTCCATCCATGCTCTCTTACAGTGACTAAGCTAGTAACTATGCCCCCATAGTCACTGTACCAGTTGGAGAGATCACGCAATGCCAGGGCTTCCTCAGAGGCAGAAGCCAGCCCAAGGCCTGTGTCCTACCCTGCAGGGGAGCATGGAAAAGGACCTGGGTCAGTGATGGGATCGAGGTGGGATGAGGTCATTCCAAACATAGTACTGGGTGCCAAGTGTTATGTGAGGCTGCGTGGAGAGACAGAATGTCCACCTTTGTGGGATCTCACAGTCCGGAGGGGGTCACAGCCAAATGAGACACTGTAGCAGGAGTTGTGGATGGGGTCTTGAGCGGGAGTGACAAGCAAATCAGGGAGGGCTTCACTGAGGGGGCGCTCTTTGGATGAGGCCTTCAGGGATGTGTAAGAGGTTTGCTGGGGACATTGTGGGAGAAGGTGGAGAAGGCAGAGGGTTTGAGGCTGGGAGCTTGAGGGCACTCTGGGAAGCCAGAGGAGCAGGGAAATTGGCTAGGGCCTGGCAGGTGAGCTGCCTCTTGCACTTCTTAGGCACTGCTGCCCCTCATCCCTGCCCTAAAGTTCACTGTCTCTCATTCTGGGCTCTTAGCCTGACCCTGAGGGAGCAGGGCTCAGCAGTCCTCAAAGTGCCTGTAGCAGGTGATTTTCCATGCTGGAGTCTGTTCCTCAGTGATGTGTGGTTAAAAAAAAAAAAATTCAAACAACTTAATCCATTTCATCAAATAGAAGATGCTTCCTGTTTTATAAGACCTGATCATTTTATGTGCCGCTTAGGAAAGAGAAAAATCACTTGCAATTGAACGTTTCTCAGATGGAGGGCACATCCTAATTTCAAAGACGCTAGAATGTGAATTTAAAACTCAGGTGTGTCCTTGCTGCCTTGAGCTTAGCCACCCTCGATGGGCTTATGACAAATACAGGTGCCTTGAGAAAGACAGCGATGGTGTGAGTGCTTGTCAGGGAAGTGATGTGCTGTATCCTTTAGGGGAAAAGGGGCATGGGGGTCTTGTGGGCAGTCAGCACAGCTCCCTGTGTTCTTACCACTCATGCTCCTCTGGAGAGGAAGAAGGCACTGTGCACTTGGCTCTGGAGAAAGACCTACTGCTGGAGGATAAACATCTGGGTGATTCTGGCCACTGACAGCTGCAGGAGAGAAGATACCTGGAAACCAGTAATAGGCAGCACTGCCCACCTCGCCTGTACCAGGGTGCCAGCAGAGGGTGGCAAGGGGAGTTCCAGTGTGCCGGCCATGGGGTTTGTCCAGTGCCCTGGGCTCTGCAGGGTGTCCTTTATTAGGCTCTGCCCACACACTGAGGCCTTGCCCTGGTTTTCCAGTCCTGGTGGGAGACACAATGAGCAGATGTCAGGCTGAGCATTTCTCAAAGGAGCGCCAGGTTCCTGGGCAGGGAACCTCTGAGTTCTCAAGGCAGCTGGCCCCTTTGAGGTACAAATGCGTTCCTCATTGCGGCAGGGTGCAAAAGGCCTTGGTCCAGCTCTCTTTAACTCAGTTTATAAGGCCAAGCTTGGTTTGTGTGTCTGCATTGGAATGACATTTTTCATGCCTCTTGGTGGAAGAGAGGGGCAGAAGACATGCGTTCAACCCTACCTGCCTGGAGCTGTTTCAGATAGCACTGCTATATCTCTGAAATGCTGTTTTCATGACAATGTGGCAGGTCTGGGCCTTCTCCTGGGGCAGTGCAGGGGAGGACATGGGGTTACCACATGGATGGCACCAGGAGCTCGTGCAGCAGTTGACCTGGAAGGGTGTGTGTGTGTTTCCTACATATCCTTTTTCTTTTTAAAAGTATCTATATAGTTGAGAAGGGTGTATGCCCATGTGGACCACTGATCAGGGTAGGGATAATCAAGGCTTGCAGGGAAGGGAGTAAGACAAATGCTTCCAATTTATTTTTTCCTCCTGTGTCTGGGGGGAGAGCAGGGAAGGAAGGGCTGGGGTCACTCCCAGCAGCGAAACTACATTGGTACCCAGGGATGGGGGACAGACACTTAACATCAACCTAGGATCCCCAGTGTGGAGCATGTTTCACGGGTACTTAAGTGGTTTTGATAGTTCTGGGGAAGGCTGAGGAAATATTTTCAAGAAACATTGATTGACATAGTCCACCTTAGTGTGTCCATTTGCCCAGATACTTGCTGTCAAAGCTTGGCCAGGAGAGTTATCCAATCTGTTCTGCCCCCCCATCCTCTGACATAGTACCTAATGTCCTCTGCAGTTCTCAATGAGCTGGATGCGATGCGCCCATGTACATCTGGACATGCTGTCCATTTCACAGGCATCAGCAATTGGGGAAGCCCAGTCCCAATACATGCACTTCATGATCAGACCACAGATCCTGTGTTTTTCTGTGTGGCCAGAATTTGAGTTCCGTGGTTCAACCTAGGTGACTTCAGACCTGAGTCTTGTCTCTGCCTGCCAGTGCAGGGTCTGGCTCAGTTCATCACCTGTATCAGCCTACATATATACTGATAGTTGCAGTCACCTGATAGTTCTGTTCCCAGCCTCATCTCATACACCAACCAATGGGTGCTGCAGCCCAGCCTAAACCTGCCCACCACATACTTGACCCTTATGCACATCAGTGGGAACTATAGCCTAGTTGGAGAGATCCCCAATAACTGCACCAGGTCTGCCACCAGCCCCAGTTCCTGTGCAGTAGGAACATACCCTTGTATGTATAGCAGACTGGTCTGGACCATTTCGCATCCCATCTGGTTCTTGTGTACACCCATGGGTGCTGCAGCCTAGCTCAGCCTGACTGACCCCAATGTCCAACCCACATGTATGCTGGTGAGTGCTTCTGTTTTGTCCAGCCTGTTTGTAGCCCTGGTTCTCCTGCTCACAGGAGGGAGCTACAATCTAGAGGGGGTGCCCGCAGTTTCCCCAATAAGCCCACTCCAAGTCCCAGATCTTATTTTTTAGGTGATATGACTTGTAACCAATCCCAGCACTTGTCAGCAGATGCTGTGGCAAAGCCCAACCAGCCAGCACTTATTCTGGCTCTTGCTTGTGCCTGTGAATGTGGTGTCCAGCTCGGCTCTCCCACAAACCCAACTCATATGCAGGCCAATGGATATTATAACCATGCCCAGCCTGATTCACCCCAGTCTCAGCTCACCAATGGGAGCAGCAGTCCAACAGGGGAGCCCCTGCAACCCTCATATCAGACTCCTCTGGCCTGGGGTCTTGTGTTTGTCGGTGCCTGTTGTAACCCTAGTCAGACATGGCTCACCTTGCCTCAACATTTGCTGGTGGATGCTACAGCCTGGTTCCACCCAGCCTGCCCCAGAGTTCTGGCCATAATGTGAACTGGCAAGTGTTGTAGCTGAACTTAGTCTGTCCTGCAACCTATCCTGGCTCTCACCTGCCTGTAGATCCTGTGGACTGTTCCAGCCTGGCCATACCCCAGGCCTGCCCCACACACATGCCAAAGGATACTACAACCCAGCCTTGTCTGCACGGCTCCCAGCCTTGTCTGGACAGCTCCCAGCCTTGGCTCTTACGCATAGCAGTGGGGACTGCATTCTGATGTAAGGAGTTCTGCTGGGGGTGAGCTTGAGAAGGCAGAAAAGGCTCTTTCATGTTCAAGGTGTAGGAAACATGTGGGTATGCTTGCTACTCCAGCTGGGCATCTAGCCCCACTGCCAACCACTATGACAACCTACTTGTTCTCCCCGAGAGCTGCCTGTGTAACTCCGGCTGGAAGTGCTGGGAATTGGGCCCTCACAGATAACAGCCTCACCCAGTGGCCAGCGATGTGCAAAATCCTCATGTTCTTGTCGTATTGTTTGTCTACCTAGGCATGGAGTTGAGCTCTGGTTGTCCACAGTGGATGACTTGCCTCCAGTTGTCTTCCTTTTTCTACTCCCTACATCCTCTTTTAAAGAGTTCATTTATATATTCACTTGAAGGAGGGAGGAAGGAGAGAGAAAAAGAGAGAGAGAGAGGGCCCAGTGCAGTGGCCTAGCGGCTAAAGTCCTCGCCTTGAATGCGCCAGGATCCCATATGGAACCCAGTTCTTTTTTTTTTTTTTTTTTTTTTTTTTTTAAGATCTGTAACCAAATCAGAATGAGTATTTTCATTGTTATATAATTTAATATTCACACACATAAAGTAAATGAAAGAAAAGAAAAGACACAGGAAATAAAAATGAAGATATTCAATTCTGTTTGATTCTAGATTTCATGTGTTTCCTCTGATTTTATTAATAGTGAAATCTAATAGATGCCAAAAGATTCCGATTCTTTTTCTGCATTTGCCTTATTTTACTTATTTATATCCAGTTTCATCTATTTTGTTGCAAATAAGAATTTAGTCTTTTTTATGGCTGAATGGAATCTTTTGGAACCCAGTTCTAATCCTGGCAGCTCCACTTCCCATCCAGGACCCTGTCTGTGGCCTAGGAAAGCAGTCAAGGATGGCTCAAAGCCTTGGGGCCCTGCACCCACATGGGAGACCTGGGAGAAGTTCCTGACTCCTAGCTTTGAATCGGCATAGCTCTGGCTGTTATGGTCACTTGGGGAGTGAATCATTGGACAGAAGAGCTTCCTCTCTGTCTTTCCTCCTCTTTGTATATCTGCCTTTCCAATAAAAATAATCTTTGAGAGAGAGAGAGAGAGAGAGAGAGAGAGAGAGAGAGAGAGAGAGAGAGACAGAGAGACTCTTCATCGCTCCAAACAGCAACAATGGATGGCTATGGCTTGACTAAGCCCAATTCAGGAGCTTAATCTCATCCAGGGCTTGCATGTGGGTGACAGGAACCATGAATGGGTCCTATTTTTCTGCTGATTTCCAGGAGTATTAGCAAGGAACTTAACTAGAAGTAGAGCAGCCAGGACTCAAAACCAGGGTTTACACGGGATGCTGGCATTGCTAGCAGCAGTTTCACCCACTTCACTGCAGTGGCAGCCCATTCCCAAAGGTTTTCAATCTGTGGCTGTTTTCATTCACTGTGGACACTGCAGAGCCAGTGCTCACATCCCCTGCTTTGAAGAGAAATGGATCAAGACAACAGAGGGAGTATCCACAGGGCTGAGCACATAGCAGGCATTCAGTTTAGACCAGAAGCCTACCTTCCAGAGCTCAGCTATAGAGCAGTGAGCACAGGTGTGCCGGAAACCTGAATGAGTGGAGCATGGGGGAGGATGGGCCCTGCGAGCCCTCTGGGGATAGGGGTGTGGAGGGCCTGCCAGTCTTGCCAGGAACCCAGCTGGCAGTGACCATCTGAGACCTGTGTTTGTCTCTGCAGTTCCTGCACATCAGCTGGTCCAGACCGAATCGTCCCAGGAAGGCACGGTGACCTGGAGAACGTACCACACATACATTAAGGCTTCTGGAGGTTCTTGATCTCATTTACACGGAGCCATGATCCCTTTTTAAATTGCTGGGTTCACAAGTTTATGATTTTCCTCCGCAGTTACAACCGCTGGGGCTGTTTATCAAGGCTTTTCTTTTTCTCCCTTTAAAAACTGAAGTCTGATAATAGGACTTTTTAAATGGAATCATCCTTTATCTATATTGAAGCTGGCAGCCCCTATCTTCTGGGAGCCAGGTGGGCAGTAGCATGCATTGGCAATGGCTCTTCAAACCCTCACACTCTCTCCATTGCCTACGATGGCAGTTTGCTTATGGCCTGCCATCCACATTAGAGGCACTGTCGGTGCGCAAGGCAGACCTGCAGCTTCGTTCCTAGTCTGTCCTCCATCATTTTGATATATTCCTGGCCTATTTTTTGATAAAATGCTTAATTTCCCCATCATCTTGGTTTGTTTTTTTGTAAGATCTATTTATTTGAAAGGCTGAGTGACACAGAGAAGGAGAGACACTGATTTTCCATCCTCTGGTTCTCTCCCTGGGTAGTCATAAGAGCTGAGACTGGGCTGGTTCCAGTCTTCCACAGGGCCGCAAGGACTCAGACCATCTTCCATTGCCTTCCCAGGCACATTAGCAAGGAGCTGGATCAAAAATGGAGTGGCTGGAACTAGAATGGGCACCCATATGGGATGCTGGAATTGAGGTGGCAGCTTAACTCGCCACACCGTAACACTGGCCCCCATTGATTTGGTTTTAGAGTACTGAGTTCTTATTAAAATGCATGCTGGTGGTTACCATAGGATGATAGTTTGGGCACATTTTCCAAATAGATGGAACAGTGAGTTGTTCTCACAGTGCTCTATTAGCCTAGAAGGTGGTTCCCCAGGTTCAAGGCCCCCCCCCCCCCCCCCCCGTGGGTGTTGAGTTTCCCGTGGGTGTCGGGTTTCCCGTGGGGTTGAGTCCTGAGGGAGGCCAGGCCACGTCTGCCCCTGCTGGCGTTAGTAACCCCGCCTGGCTCCCCTCTTTGCAGGATACCTCCTCTCTCTCTTCGCAGTCTCCCTCTTCCTCCTCATGATTGGCAGCTGCACCTTCAGTAACTGGTGGTTGGGTCTCTGGCTGGACAAGGGCTCACAGGTGAGTTTGTTCTCGGCAGTGAAAAGCACTGAACTTGTGTCTTGGAGCACAGAAGTCACTCACTGAAATCACTTGGGAACCTCTGCCCTTGCAGGTGGCATCTGGGGCAGGTGCTTAAACTGTCCAGTTCCAATTCTTAACATCCCCTTCAGTTTCTCAAGACAAACAGTGCATTGGGATTCCCGTGTGCCACCTGCAGATATCAAAGGGATGGCTGAAAAAGTGTGCCAAAAGCAGCATGTCTGTGGGGTCAGGACAGACCAGGTCAGTGTTGTAGCCTGGGTCTCAGGTCAGGGAAACCTCACATAGGTTTCTTTTTCTTTCCTGCCATTGAAGAACTGGCATTCTGTCCTTGACACCATCAGCGCCAGACAGTTGCATAGGGCTCTGTCCCATGAAGTTGCCTCTGTGGGATTGGGATGTGCCAGAGTCACACTCAGTTCCCATAAGTGTGACAGGCCACCAGGAGCCCTTTCCTGCTGGCTGAGCTCCTCTGGGGAAGGGCTTGAAGTCCTTTTTCCCTGGAGCTTTCTCAGCTTTTGGCCAATGGTTTCAGAGCCTCAGCAGTGCTGTGGGTGGTGTCCGCCCATGCTTGGTGGTGGCTGGCTACATTTTTGTTTAATTCTGTTGCTATGACCACCAGAATCAGGAAGGGTGGGGCTTGAGCAGGAGACAGGCTATTGGACACCAGCATTCTGAGGCCACACCCCAGGCGGAGGCCAACAATGGACAGCATGGTGGCAGCAGCTCCAGGATCCATAGCTTCTTCTTGATCCAACATGCCCAGGACGAGGACTTCCTTTTGGGGAGCTGGTTTAGATTGTGGCGAAGGCCACTCCTGAGCTTGGGGCTTCTCTACAGCAGGCTACTGGGTGTGAAGCAGCAGTGGCAGGCCAAGTGTTCGTCCCTTGTCCCTGGATGCAGGAGCAGAAGGAACAAAAGACCTTCAGCCAGGCCTGTGATCAGGGACTCCCCCGGGGATTCTTTCACTTGTTTTTTCAACAGTTCATCAATCAGCCACCTCTGATTTACACTTCTGCTATTACTGCCCTCAGCAAAAAGGCATTTTGGAAGCGTGATTTCCTCTCCCCCAAACAGTCTCCCAGCACACGTTCAGGAGACACAGGAACTTGGTAGTTTCTCAGGGTAGGGAGAAGAAAGTGGCCTGTGCTCAGAGATGCTGGCAAAATGGGTGTGCCCCCTGGACTGGGTTGGATGGGATTGTGGCTGGAGCCTCCCATGGGGGCCGCGCATCCAGGGCTGTGTGGCTGTGCCCTCCCAGAGAGCCCCCTGGGTTTCCCTGAGCTAAGGCTTGATGACAGCTGACAGCTGGCAGGAGGCATGGTGAGTGCAGGGTGGTTCCTGGGCACTGTCCTGTTGGGGTTGGATTCCAGGCGCCCCACTTGCTTCTGGATCTGCCTGGCCCAGCCTTTCTTCTGGTCTTGTAAGGTACAGGAAGTTGCTGGGTGGCTGCCTGCATGTCACCTTGTTCAGCTGCTTTGTTTTCACAGTGACTGTGAGCTCATGCCAGATGCCCCTTGAACTCACAACTGCCCATGGAGAAGAATCATGCATAGCCCCAAAGGGGAACTGGCTTGATTTTGCTCACCCAATTACTTCTGTACCATTACCCACCTCTTAGTTTGAGTTTCTTCTCTCTGGGAAGGTTCTCTGGATAATCCCTGTTCTCTCTAGAGTCTACTCACGCTTGGTGCTTCTCTTGTATTTTCTCCCAAGGTTACTTGCGGGCCACAGGGCAACAAGACAGTGTGTGATGTGGGTGAGGTCCTGGCAGACACGGGGCAGCGCTTGTACCAGTGGGTGTACGCAGCCAGCATGGGGTCTGTGTTGTTCTTCGGCATCGCCAAAGGCTTCACCTTCACCAAGACCACGCTGATGGCATCCTCCTCGCTGCATGACAGAGTGTTCGATAAGGTGCCACCACCAGGGCCCCAAGGCACACCAGTGATTTGATGTGCCAGGCACTGTCTGTGCTGAGCCTTGGGCACAGGCGAAGCCTTCTGGGAGCTTCTAGTCTCTTCCCGGGAGAGACTTTCCAATATCCAGTTAGCACCCAGGAAAACAAATTTCAGGCAGCTGTTAGGGGTACCAGAGCTGCAGTAGGCAAACATGCAGGCTCAGGAGCATTTCCTGCTCCAGGAAACTCAGATAGCTAAAAAGTATTTCTGTCGCCTACCTTATCACACTGCTGCCACAGGTGGCAGCCACTGGCGGTGATGGCCCTGGTCAGAGAATATGGGAGGTATTTTCATTTTGGGGATAGAGGACCAAGGGCATCTTGGCATTTTAGTTCCCTGGGGCACAATGTCCCTCATCTCTAAAGGCACCACCTCTCCCATACTTGGCTGTACCTGAGATTTCTCGAGGGTCTCTCTGCGTCTCTGTGCCCAGTCCAGTTCCCCCTGCCCCCATTTTCACTGTCCCTCATGATGACTACAGAAGCAGAGGGCAGCCCCACTGTGCCCAGGACACAAGGTCAGGTCCCACTCTTACAGCTGCAGCTCCAGCAGAGCAGCCTGCAGTCTGCCAAGCACCAACCTTGACCCTGCCTGGCTGTTTGCTTGTGTCTACAGATCTTAAAGAGCCCAATGAGTTTCTTCGACACGACTCCCACCGGCAGGCTGATGAACCGCTTTTCCAAAGACATGGACGAGCTGGATGTGAGGCTGCCATTTCATGCTGAGAACTTCCTGCAGCAGTTCTTTATGGTGGTGTTCATTCTCGTGATATTGGCGGCTGTGTTCCCTGCTATCCTGCTGGTGGTGGCGGGTCTGGCTGTGGGCTTCCTCATACTGTTACGGTAGGTCCTGGTGCCACTTCAAGAGGAGAAAGCTGTACACACACATACACACACACATACACATACACACCCATGTGCAATGATGGACAATGATGGCATGTCAGGAGATGCTGCGTTCTTGCTGATTTGATTGACAGTACAACAAACTGGTCTCCCGCACTTGCTAAATGTTAGCTGCTTTGTAAAGTGTTTCACATATATCTAGCCCACATCTGGTTTCAGGCAGGTGGATAGTATTAGGAGGTGGCCAGGAGACTAGTAACCGCTATCTGTCTGCTGATGTCCCCACTCCTGCTGCTGGAGAAGAGAGGAGACCCATCCTTGGGGACTCTGAGCCTGGTGATAAAGTCCTGGAGCTGTCCCAGGCCGTGGTTAGAGACCCAGGCCTGCAGGGCCGGGAAGGTAGGGGAAGAGAAGGACTCCAGCCTCCCAGGGGGTCCAGATCCCCCATTTGCTGGAGTGAACTGGGATTCTAAGCAGATGGTACAGTGGTTATTGGGTAAGGGCAAAAATTTGCTCCTGAGCCTCAAAACTAGCCAGGAGACCTTGAAGGAAGTTGGGGAAGTGCTGGAAGCCTCCATTTGCTCATGTCCAAAGTGGCCATGGCCAACACACTTGCCTCACCTGTGTCCGAGGTGTCGCTCTGATGGTCAGATGAGGCAGTCTGACCAATTTCTTGCAAATTACAAATGAGATAAGGGACCAGTAGAAAGCCTAGTGGTTAAGCCGCTGGTTTGGGATGCTTGGGCATCTGATTAGAGTGCCTGGGATTAAGTCCTGACTTGGCTGCTGGCTGTACATCCTGGCAGTAGAGGTGGGGAGTGGATGATAACTGAAGTTAGTTGGGACCCTGCTTCTAAAGTGGGAGACCCAGACTGAGTTCCTGGAGCCCTGTTTGACCTAGCCCAGTCCCTGCCATTGTGGTCATGGAAGAGCCATTAGATAAGAATAATTCTTCTGTGTCTTAAATAAGTAAATACACATATAACTGAAGAGTTTCCGTGAAAATCAACAAACTGGAAGTGTACACTTAGCTGTGCTCTAGGCGGGTAAAACAAGTAAAACAGCAGACGGGAACTCTCTCCTGATGTCTGACTGTCTCTCTGCTTCTCAGAAAACAAGCTCAGGTGTCCATTTGGGGCTGTGCTGTTGAGAAAGGTTGGTTTTCACAGACAGACTCACATTCTGCAGTGAGATATCTCTGATCTAGGAAGCGCTCAGGACTGAGGCCTCCCCAGAGGGCACAGGCACTCACATTGCTCAGACTCCCACCTCGTACCACCTGGGATTTGCACATCCAGAGAAGGACAAGCAGGCTCACCTTCTCTCCCTAGGAAGGCGGTGGGTGCATTGGCCTGAGTGAGCAGCCAGACCTGCCAGTGGCCATGGTGAGCCCTGTGTGACCCTGCCTTGCAGCCCTCTGGGCCCCTCTTGATTGCTACACCTCCCTTCCCCCCCCACACCCTTTCCTTGCAGTATTTTCCACCGAGGAGTCCAGGAGCTTAAGAAGGTGGAGAACATCAGTCGTTCACCCTGGTTCTCACACATCACCTCCTCCATGCAAGGCCTCGGTGTCATTCACGCCTACGGCAAAGAGGAGAACTGCATCAACAAGTGAGTCTGCTGTGTGTGGGGTGGGGTGGGGTGGGGTGGGGTGGCAGGGGCGGCGCTGCTTGAGGTGCCCGGGAGGGAGCAGAACACGTGGCTCCTCTGGCTCCCACAGCCAAGTCTGGACTGGGAGCACTAAAGCATCTAGGGCCCTGGTCCCAGTGAGCTGGGGTACTTATGCAAACGACCGCCTTGGCACTTAACTTCATCTTTACTCTGTACTCTAAAAGCAAAAGTGGGTTCAATTCAAGAAAATACGGGAAAGCAGGAGGAAAAGAAAAAAATAAAACACACAGGTAAAACCAAAGTCCTGTTAATATTTTCACTCGGTCCTTTTTATAAAAATTCATTAGTTTTTTTCTTATGTATTTGGAGTGTTTTCCTCGTTTTTAAATATGTACTTAAAATTTTTAGTATCATTTCTCATGATGTGAGAGACTTTTTTTTTTTGTTAAAAAACGAAAGTTTCCCTTTGGCGGGACCATCATTTTCCTGCTTTTTAAGTGGGGGAGAGGAGATGAGCAGATTCTTCCTGAGTCATCCAGCTGCAGACCTCTAAGATGCTTGATAAATGGTACCAGCCTCCAGAGGCTCACTGCAGTGAGAAACATCCTGGCATCTTAGGCTCTTGCATTAAATAGCTGTTCTCCTTCAAGACCCAATTTAATGTGCGTTCCTGGGGCGGGGGGGTAGGGGATTCTGCTCTATACTCAGGTACACAGTCTCCTTCCACCTGATGGCCTTTGGGGTCTTCTCCAAGATCCTTCATGTCCAGCTGGATGAAAAAGAAAGGGGAGCGGGTAGAGGACCCCATGGGAAATCCTAACAGCTCAACCTTTGTACAGGGGTACCCGTCATCTCTGCATACTCATTGGTCAGGTTTTAGTCACACGCCTCTCCTAACTGCAAGGGAGGTTGGGAAATGTAGTCCAGTGTGTTGCAAGGGGCAGTGAAAACAAAGTTTGGTGAAATCTACAGCTGTGTCCTCCACCATTTCCTTACCATCTTCCTCAGAAAACTCACATACTTTGACACCTGCTTCTAACTTTTTTTCTCTCTCCTTGTCTCCCAACTTCGTCACTGGGGATCTCCATGTAGCCTCTCTGCTTGCTGGTAATTGAGTCAGTACCTGGTTCTGTCACATCACCCACCAAGAGTCTTGCCTTGCATGCAGACCCTCTCATGCAAGTTGTGCCTTCCTGCAGATTCTCCTTCAAGCACCTTTAGGAGGATCCTGGAGGGAGCTGAGTCCCTGCAAGATTGAAGATGGGGTGTCCCTTCTGTTGATGTTTTCTTTCCAGAAGGTTTGGGATTCTGAGCTGTGTTGCCTTGGCTGCCAGGTAAACAGAAACATCATGGTGCCGGGAAGGACAGTTGTTCTAGAGTTCTGGGGAATAATGCGTCAGAGTGGAAACACAAGAGGTGAGGGGACTGCAGAGCCCAGAGTGGCCACAGGTGCTGCCACACAAGGCCTGGGGAGCCTAGGGAGCAGGGGGCAACAGCCATGTATGACGGTCTCCCCCCTCCACTCCCATCCCTTCTTGGGCAGGAGCCCTTAATGGCATGGTTAGCTATATGGCTAAAATCTCACTCTTGTATGTGTCCAGGTCACAGGGTCTTGTGATGAGGCTGAGTTGTGTGTGTGTGTATGTGTGTGATGAGGAGTGGGGGGGGGTGATGATGCATAGTTGGGAAGCACTTCACTTTTAGAACACTCCACCCCTTTTTCTCTGAGTCTCACGTAGGGGAGCTGTGGAGGAGGGCAGCAAGGAGGGGCCGTCCTCAGGGGACTGCTGACTTTTGGGATTGTTCTTTCTTGTGTACTACTCATTCCTGCTGACCTGGCACATTGTGCAGATGTGGCATGGCAAGAGGTCTGTCTCTCTGTCCTCAAAACAAAACAAAACAAAACAAAAACGTGGTTGGTTTGTTTTTGTGATGCAGCTGAATGAAACCTTCTGGTCTTCAAAGACAGAGCCACATCTTGTGCAGTGAGATGCTCCTGCCAACAAAGCACTCAGAACTGTGACTTGAAGGAGAGATGGAACACTCGGGTTCTCAGAGTCCTTCTCCGCAACTGGGTCACTAGGACTCACTGGATTTCCAGGGAGCTCTGCCTGGCAGCATTTGTCCCCCTAAGGTGGAGGGCCCTCTGCCTCACCCCAAGGGGTTGCACCAAAACTATAGCCTTGGGTGTCATCTTCCCCCTCCAGGCTCAACTCTAGGGATGGAGGGAATGGGCAAGAAGAGTCGCCCATTCTTTGGGCAGGTCTCGCCTCCACCTTCTGACTGTGTTGCCTCTCTGTCACTCTGCCCTGACTTTGCCTTCTTTTTGGCTTGGTGGATGTGTAGCAGGGGCACCAGAGGCCACCCTTCTCTCTTTGAAGAGACTGGTGGTTTTATCAGCATTTCCAGGAAGCTTTTCTCTGACTTAGAGATAGAACCAAGTAAACACCCTTCATTCCCACCCGACTGTCACAGACATCACGTCTCATCAGGGCCAGCTCCTCCAGAACATAGTCTACCCATGTTATAGAACAAAGGGGCTAGTCCTCAATTCCACAAGGCCCTAGAGCAGGGATTGATGGGAAACTAGAGTGTGAAGCACTTTCAGTTTTGTTCCCAGCAATGAGTTTCAGTTGGAAGTTCTGGGAAAGAGCCAAGTTGTCACCATGCTCAAATGCCACGTGGAATTTCTCAAAATATGTGCAAAGGTGGCAGATTTTCAGAACATGGTTGGATGTCTGCTAACTTTTGGGAAAACTTCCTGTGGAAGGGTGCCTTTTCCCCACCCCTCCTTCTTTTTCCCTAAATCCATGGAAGCGCAGCCTGATGTGTTGTGTCTGACGGTATTATTTTCTTCGCCTTAGGTTTAAGATGCTGAATGATGAGAACTCCAGCCACCTGCTGTACTTTAACTGCGCGCTCAGGTGGTTCGCTCTGAGAATGGATGTCCTCATGAACATCGTCACCTTCATTGTGGCTTTGTTGGTGACACTGAGCTTCTCCTACATCAGTGCTTCATCCAAGGGCTTGTCATTGTCATACATCATCCAGGTAACAAACCCTTCACGGTGGGGCCTGGCCTGGAGGCTCTGACGTGGAGTGTACACATCAGGAGGGATTGAGGGAGCAGAAAACCCATCTTAGCGAAGAGAACCGAGGAGCTCACATCATGAAAAAGTTGGGCAGCTACGTGGGCTTCAGGCACCACTGGGTCTTGGCGCTTGGTTTTGTCCTCACAACTGTGCAGTGGTGGCCAGCAGCCTCTCGGGTCTTCAGCAGGATTCAAGCAGGAAGAAAGTCACTGAACAAGAGCTTCAAGCTGCTTCTCCTGAGATGAGTTGAGGCACCATGGAGCTGAGGAATAATTCAATCGAAGTGGTTGGTTTAAGCTAAGGGTTAGAATCACAGCCCTTCTCGCCAGGTCACATGGCTCTTGCACAAGTTGGAATGTGAAAGGAGTGGTGGGAATATGGTCGCAGTGTCTATGACACTGATTCTTGGATTGCCTGCTTTTGACTAGTGAATAGCTAGACGGCTTTTAGAGAGCTTTGGGCAGCATCCTTTACCTCAAGGAGTTTGCCTACTGCTGTGTAGTGGCCACAGGGTACTGCCGTAGGCTCTGCTTGCAGAAGACAGGGTTGGGAAGATTCTTCCAGGGTCACATGTGACAGTCACGATCTGTACCCAGGCCAGCCAGACTGGCGATTGTTTGACCCTTGTCCCCTGGCACATACTTTGTGCCATTCTCTTGGTAAATTTCTGTAATGTGGTCTTTACCCTTGGTTCTCCAATGGTCTAGGCGGTGTCCCAGATGGTAGATCTTTGCACATAGCTTGTTTGGTGGGCTGGGCTGTTTCAAAGTCAAAAGATTCTTCCTCTGGGATAAACTTCTCCTCTTCCTGTTTCCCAGACAATATCTCCCTCTCCGTTTCAACCTGTAACGCAATATTGCTTCAATATTGATTTCTTGAATCAAGTTTCTAAACTTCTTTTATCTCAAAGTTTCATCTTTTCTGGGCTGCTTATTTTTGGGGGGTGGGGGATTTTTCTGAACTTTGTCATTCTCCTTTGACTTTTAGAGCTGACGAACATAGAGTCGTATATTTAGTTTCCACAAGCTCTTTCTCAGGAGCGGTTGGCTGTGGACACATGAGCACGTAGCCAGCCTCTCTGTGGGCTCTTCCTCATGCCTGAAGCTTCTTTCTGCTGGACCGAAGCTCGTTAAGTGCCCGTAGCACATTCTGTTTCCATTTTATCAGAGAGCTTTCATCATTTCCTGCTTAGCAGAAGTCTGTCATTCTCTCACTCATTGGCATTCTTTCCCAACACCCTTGCTGCCAAAGGGCTATTCTTTGTTGGAATTGTTTCTGATATTATTATTATTTTGTCAAAAAAATTTGTTTATTTTTATGATTCAGAGTTACACACACACACACATAGGGAGACAAAGAGACAGAGAAAGAGAGAAAGAGATTCTTTCTACTGGCTCACTGCCATCTGGTCACAAATCAAGAATGGGCCAGGCCGAAGTCAGGGATCAGGAGCTTTATTTAAGTCTCCCATGTGGGTGAGGGGCTGAAGCATTTTGTGCCAACCTCTGCTGCTTTTCTAGGCCATTAGCTGGATCCAGGGAGCTGGATCAAAGGTGGAGAGGCTGAGACTCAAATCACTGCCATATGGGATCTCAGCATTTCAGGTGGCAGCTTTACTCATCGCAGCACAATGCTGGCCCTCTGATATTATCTTAATGACATTGGGGGCAGTGAGGGAGCAGCCTAGCATATTCTCAGTCCTCTGTCTTAAGTAGGGACACATGAATTGCCTGAGTTAGACAGTTTCCCTCACTGATGTTATCATTTGTTGTTCCTAGTAAATGCCAAACCAATAATGCTGTTCTAGAATTGGTCCAAGCAAAGCAGCTTTTCCTAATGAAAGTCAGGCTTTGGGGTGACACTACCAGGGTCCATGAACCTGCTTTCCTACCCTTCTGTGAAGTTTAGAGAACTTGCACTCATCGAGATTTCTGGGATGTTTCTCCAGCTGACCTTGTGGCTTTTTGAGCATTTGTTCCCTTTGGAGAATGCAGGATCAAAATGACAGAGCTTCACTCGCAAAGAGAGGAAACTGCCTAGATGGATGGGAAATTAGTGTGAACTCCTGCAGAGCAGACAGTGGATGTAAGGGCATATCAGCGAATAGAGTGAAGGAGGCAGGGCCCACACACGCTTTAGGAGCATTGCACCTGCCCTTCTCAAGGGCTGAATTCAACCATTCACTCATCAGACATCTGTTGAGCACCTGCTTTCACTGTCCTGGCTGCTGTGAATTCAGCATTAAATTATCTGGACAGAATATTTCAAATTAATCACAAGAATGGATGTTTAAATATTCTTACCTCAAAGACATGATAGATATTTGTGGGGATGTACGTGCTGAAGACCTTGGTTTGAGCATTATGTAATATACACACAGGTGCCGATGCTGTTGTGTACTAAGCTAAAGCCTCTGACTTTGGTGCCGGCATCCCTTCTGGGTGCTAATTCAAGTCCCAGCTGCTCCACTTCCATTCAGATCTCTGCTTATGGCCTTGGAAAGCAGCAGAGGATGGCCAAAATCCTGGGACACTGCACCCAATTGGAAGACAAGCAGAAAACTCCTGGCTCTTGGTTTCTGATTGGCTCAGCTCTGGCCATGATGGATGAACTAAAGCATGAAAGGTCTCTCTTCTTCTCTAACTCTACCTTTCAAATTCAAATAAATACATCATTTTTTCTTATTTATTTATTAAAAAAAATGATCTTACTTAGTTGATTAGGGAACAAAGGGTCAAGGACTACAGGAAAGTGGGTAATACCATTGTTTCTACATTAATATCATTTTTCCCCTGTGTCAGGGGAGAAACAAAGGGAAAAGCCCCACCCAGCCTCCCACCCATCCCAGGTCCCTGATGTGAGGCATGCTCTGTGGGTCCTGCTCAAGCAGTTTTGATAGTTCAACAGTTCTGATTTGCTGCCAATCTCACCATTCCAATCACGATGAAACCTAAAATGCTGAACATCATTTATTTTTAAAATAAGAATGTACACCTAGTGTTGAGGAGCTGGTGCTATGGTGGAGCAGGTGTGGTGATGCAATGCTGGCACCCATATGGGCAGAGATTCAAATCCTGACTGCTTATCTCCAGTCTCAGCTTCCTGCTAATGCGCCTGGGGAAGCAGCAGAGGATGGCTCAAATGTTTGGGTCCCTGTACCTACATGGGAGACCTAGAAGAGTCTTCTACCTCCAAGTTTCGGCTTTGCCCAGTTCTAACAGCCATGGTGGCTGTTTGGGGAGTAAACAAGTGGATGAAGGAAGACCTCTTCCTCTGTTCTCTCCCTACCCCTCTGTAATTTTGCCTTTCAAGTAAGTGAAATGATGGATATATATATGTGTGTGTGTGTGTGTGTGTGTTGAAACTTCATATAAGGACAGTATGTGGCCCAGTGAATTCACTCGCCCTTTGAGATGCTTACATCCTAAATTGGAGTGCATAGTTCAAGCCCAGGCTCCCTGCTTCATTTCAGTTTTCTATTAATACACAGCAGATGGAAGCAGCAGATGATGGCTCAGCTGGTTGGTCTCCTGCCATGCAGGTGGGAGACCTGGGTTGAGTTCTAGGTCCCTGGCTTCAGCCTAGGCTGTTGTGGGCATTTGGGGAGGAACAAGTAGATGGAAGATCGCTCTTTTTCCCCCACCCTCATCTCTGCCTTTCAAATAAATGAAACATATTCTAAAAAGTGTAAAGGATAAGAAGCATCCCTGTAGCTGATAAATATGCATATAATTGTATACCATTTTTAAAAGAAATGGATGTGGAGAGGTTCCAATCTAGCAGGCAGCTGGAAGAAATTGTAGGGCAAGCAGTGCAAGAGTGAGCAGGCCTCAGAGAGTCTGTGTCACAAAGGTAGCAGAGTGGGGTTGCTGTGGCTGTTGGGGGGAGCAGCATGGCAGCCAGCACTCCCAGGAGGCTTTGGCTGGGAGGTGAAGGACAAGGAAGAAGGAAGTCAAGGATCGGTGGATCAGGCCAAGGTGCTGAGGCATGGCTTGGGGACAGGCATGGGGTTGGAAAGTTTGAAGAAGGGGTAGACAGTGAGGTGGGTGGGCTGCAGAGCTGTGTAAGCCAGGGCAGGGGTGCTGCGTCTGTTCCAGGGAGGGTCCTTTTCATGATGATGTGGTAGACATCTGGATGGGCAGGGCTATTCTGGGCATTGTGCATTGCTTAGCAGCTCCCTTGCCTCTCTACTCCCCCATCCCTACTCCAGGCTGTGATGAGCAAGAAAAACTCCAGCACTGCCTGTGTGTTTGGGAAAGTCACTGGTGTCAGAGTGTGCAGCCCCAGGTCTGGGTGGGGCAGGGAGGTAGCGGGGAGGGGTTGCAGAACGGCTGAAGGCCTGCTCTGGGGACAGGAACCAGCCACTCTCCACCTCATCTGCCTACTTTCTATTGGATCACTTGTTTCTTACCATAGCTGCTACTTTTTAAATATTTATTTTATATATTTGGAAGGCAGAATTCCAGAGGAGAAAGAGAGAGAGATCTTCCATGCCATGGTTCACTCCCCAAGTGGCTGCAATGGCCATTAACTGGGCCAGATTAAACCTAGAATCCAAAAGTTCATCAGAGTTCCCAGAACCTGGGCCGCCATCTGCTGCTTCCCCAGGTGCATTTGCAGGGAGCGAGATTGTATGTGAAACAGTCGAGACAACAACAGGCAACCATACAGGATGCCTGTGTGTCAGGTAGTGATTTGACCCAGTGGGCATCAATGCTGGTGACCAGAGCTTTCTTACTCAGAATCCATCTGGGGGACTTGTTACCTAAAGCACCTCATCAGCTCACAGTCTCCCTCCCGTCATCCCTTCCAAAGGATCCCACCTCCCACCTCTCCTAGAGCATCTAACAAACACATGTAGACCATGACTCATTGTGCATATCCATGTGAGGCTCACCTGCACTCACTCTGTGTTGCCCACATGGAGCTGGTCTATCCGCAGCCAATTTGGGGAAGCAGTGCATAGCCCAAATCACAGTTCAGAAGGTATGTATTCCGTGGGTGGTGGATGGCTCCTTCCTCCAGCTCACTTTGTGATCCAGGGAGGGAGTGCTGATGCCCACACCCTACACACACACACACACACACACACACACACACACACACACAGCTTCTCAGGGCAGGCAGAGGTGCAGGCGTTTGGCACAGCCAGAGCAGACTCTGCAGGGAATGGTGGGAGTCTGAGGTTGCACTCAGCCCTGTCTTGGAGGTTGTGCCTCTACAGATTCAACCAAGATTGCATCAAAAGCAAACATCGGGATTTGGTACATCGGTGCTGAAAGTGTTAAGACACGTTTCTCCCTTTTATTCCCTCACCAGTGGGATGTAACAGCTGTCTAGCCAGCATTTCCACTGCAGCAGGGGTTATAGGTCATCTAGGGGTGATTGAAAATCGGTGCGGGATTCATATGTCAGTTCTGCACCTTTCTTATAAAGGTGAAAACATCTCCTGTTGATACTATGGAATGACAATACGTGCTCAACTTCCTTATCTCGGCATGGGACAGTTCTTGGTGGGTTTCCCAGGGCTCTCCAATAGACTCGTCCCTCAGCTGCACACAGCGGTACCTGCTTCTGCACACAGCTTTCTTGGCTGCCTTTCTTCCCTACCTTTTCTTGCCCACCCTCTATGAGTATTTTGGGGATTTACCACCTGTAGTAATTGGTTAAGGCTGGAATAACAATGTAAAGCCGGCCTGGTTCTCACTCCAGAGGAATTTATTCTCTCATGACTTGGTGGCAGACATCAGAAGTCAAGGTGTTAGCACTTCCGTGTTCCTTCTGAAGGCTCCGAGGCAGACTGTCCCTGTCCTTTGCCTGCTTCTGGTGGTTGCTTCCGTTCCTTGGCTTGTGGTCGCACCACAGCAATCTCAGCCTCTGGCTTCATGTCCACTTCTCTTCTTTGTGACTTCACTTCCTCTGTGTCTTACAAGGACACCTGTTCTGGTATTCAGGGCCCACTCAGGAATCTGGAGTGATCTTAAGAGCCTCACTTCACTCCCAAAGACCCCCTTTCCAGATGAAGTGGCGGGGATTTGTGTAGGGAGAGAGGGCTTGGGATGAAGAGCCCTCAGGTCTCTGATGGGGCTGGCTTCTGGGGGCTCATGCTAGATGGGGTCAACGGTTTTGGGGTGCTTATGTAGTGGTGGTGGTTTCCAGTGACTTCTTGATCTTGGGACTGCCCCCAGAGAGAGTCTCATATTTGGACAGAAGTGCATGTTGGAGTTGTGCAGTGGTTGGGGGGCCAAATGCCAACGGGGCAGCCAGGGGAGAGTACAGTTACCATTTGTTCCTCGACACAGAGCAAGTGAAGGCAAATGCTTGTGCTGGGACATCTCCTGGGGCAGGAGTCTGGGAATGCAGACTCTGGGCTTCCTTTGTGTGAGGTTCCAAGTGAAGCAGGGGAGGGAGGATTCTCCAGGGCTGTCCCCTGAGGGGTGGCACTGCAGAGCTGAGAAAGGAAAGGGCTCTGAGTGACAGGCTGTTCCTTGCCAACAGCTCAGCGGGCTGCTCCAAGTGTGTGTGCGCACAGGAACTGAGACCCAAGCCAAATTCACCTCGGTGGAACTGCTAAGGGAATACATGTTGGTAAGAAGTTGGCGCATGAGCAGAAGGGGGCACAGTGACCCTGTAGATTGCAGAATCATATTTGACTTGTTCAGATGTACAAAGAGATGTTAGGGGGGAAAAAAAGTTGTGCTGGTCACCCCTCTTCTTAAATTGTTTATAAGACAGTCTAAATCCTTAACATTGAATGTTCCTTAAGGGTAGTTTTTATACATACAAAGGGCAGGTGAGTGGCTTGCTTTGGTTGCCAAAAGTTAGAACTTGATCAGCTGAAGCTGCAAGCTGAAAGAGAAAGAAGCACAATGTTACACTTCTTTAGAAGCCTTTCTATTCTGCTTGCAGATTCCGCTAGTCGTTGCGAAGAAGTCCCGCTGGTTCTGTTAGTCACTCCCAAGGGCCTGTAAATGGTGTTTGGCTCCATCTGCAAACGTCATTAAACACTTTGAAACATTTTGGACTGCATTTTAAAGTTTAATACATTCAGTTTGCTTTTTTAAGTACCTCAATGATCAGATTTCACAAACCAATCTTCCTATTTATATACATGTAATAAATTAAACTTACAAATCTGGTGAACTCAAAGTTCGCCTGACATTTCAACGCCCTACACCAACAAGAAGTTTTTGGCTTAAAGTTGTGTTTCAACCAATGATGCAATTATACGTTTAACACGAGACAGAAACACAATCCCAGATTTTATTAATATTAGAACTATTGCACCAAATCCTCCTCCAATTAAGAATGCTACTGCTGTGGTCTTTCCTCCTCCTAAACCTGTATTCTCAATTCTGAATCTTCTAGGAGCTAAGCAAAAACAACTCTCCACGGGTACAGGTCATTTTCTCAGCCCATTGAGGTTCTGATCAGCCAGAGAAGGGGCTCATCAGTCACCCCAAGGAGCACATGGGCTCTCTTTTCTGGTCAGTTAACAGGAACCTCCTAATCAGAGGCAGGTTCAGCCTTAAAACCAAGCCAAGCTGCTGCTCTCATTAGACAGACTGCATTGCTGGGCCTCTTAGGAGATGCAGGTGCCCCCTTGCCCCTGAGTGGAGCTGACTGTCCTGCATTCTCATCACCTCCCCACCTCCATCCCCACGACACCTCTTGCAGGTGCTGAGATGATAACTGCTCCAATCCTGTAGATCTCAGATCCAGGCCACATGCCCAGGTTCCCTTGGTCCCCATGGGAGCTGTCTCTTACTTCCTGTGGCGCAGCCATACTGTGTTCACTAAGCTCCAGGGCTTTTCTTTCTAGTCTCCCAAACATCAGGCCCTTTGTACCAGCTGTGACTGCTGCCGCCAAGGCTCTAGATTCAAATTCTCTGTTAGCCACTTCTTCTCAGCACTTCTGGTCTCAGCGCCAGTGTCACATCCTCGCAGATGCCATCCGCCACCCTGCTTATCGTCCTCCACCCTGCCTGTTGTCTGCCACGCTGCCTGTTGTCTTCATTTCTATTATTTTTTTTTCTTGTTTGTAATGTGACATGCACCCTGGTGTTGGGGTGTCCCCACTGGTCTGCACCCCAGTGCCTAGGAATGTGGGAGTGAATATATGGAATGCAAGGAAGAATTAGGGGTAACTCACTGTTCCACTCTGCTTTTCAGACCTGTGTTCCTGAGTGCACTCATCCCCTTAAAGCAGGGCCCTGTCCCCAGGACTGGCCCAGCCATGGGGAGATAACCTTCAAAGACTACCAGATGCGGTACAGAGAGAACACCCCGCTGGTCCTTGACGGGCTGAATTTGCACATCGAGAGTGGGCAGACCGTGGGCATTGTAGGGAGAACAGGCTCCGGTGAGCACCACCAGCTCTGCTCTTGCTTCTTTCTTTCTTATAAAAATGGACATGTTTTTGTTTCGAGATTCAGAGAGAGGAGGGCAAACGAAAGAGAGATCTTCCATCTGCTGGTTCACTCCTACAGAGGGGCTGGGCCAGGCTGAACCCAGGAGACTCATTTGGGTCTCTCATGTGAATGGCAGGGATCCAAGGGCTTTGGCCATCTTCTGCTGGGTTCCCAGGCCATTATCAGGGAGCTAGACCAGAAGTGGGGGGCCAAGATACAACCCAGCATCCCGTGTTGCAAACAGCAGTTTTATGGCTGTATCACATGCCACCCCCACCCCCCGCTGTCATTTTTTTAGGTTGTGTTCTATACATCCCCAGAGCGTGCTGTTTATTAAACCACAACAGAGAAGCACCATGTGCCTGTGGGACTGACTGCTGTCTCCCCTCAGATCTCTTTCCTGTAAATTAGGATCTCAGGTTCAGCAGTGGAGGGAGTTGGGAGCTAACGCCCAGCAGCAGTTTCTAATTGATTAGATGATACTCATTCTGGTGAAAGAGGCTGGGTGCTGGCTGAGGGGGTCCCTGCAGGGACAGGGCAGGGTGGGGAAGGGAAACTGTGTTAGGGTGGCTTCAGGCAAGCCCCAGAACCAGGAATCCCTGCCTGTCAGGAGCTATTTGTTTCATTGCCTTAAAAATCCTTGTAATTACCCACTTTGCTGTGACGGACACAAGTTGGAACTGACGTGGAGGTTGTGTTCCCTGTCGCCCTTGCCTGTGCGATTCCCAGGGAAGTCCTCGCTAGGTATGGCGCTGTTCCGCCTAGTGGAGCCTGCAGGCGGCACCATCCTCATCGATGCTGTGGACATCTGCTCCGTGGGTTTGGAAGACCTCAGAACGAAGCTGACTGTGATCCCCCAGGACCCTGTCCTGTTTGTAGGTACAGTAAGGTAGCTGTTTTTTGCTCATTGTGCATTCCTATTTTTGCATAGTGAAATCAGACCAGCACAGCATGGCCAGCATGGGGCTGAGCCAACTCGGGGAGACAGGGGACAGGGCTGGCAGGAGGACCCTGATGAGATTTACTGCTTCCGCATTAAGTTGTCAATCACTGAGATGCTTGCTCCTGACAGGTCCTAGACAGCCCTGTTTTATCTGTGTATCTTACCAGGCTTTCCAGCAGACACTGTCAGAAGCACCCCACTTTGCACACTGAGTAAGTGATTCCCCTCCATTTATAGCCACTTGTGTGATGATTCCTTGCTACCAGGGAGCAAACAGAAGCTGGACAGCTGCGTGCCAACAGGGCTGCAGCTTCCTGCCAGGGGCTGAGGTCAAAGTGCGAGGGGAGAACCACAGCTGCCTCCTCCCTCTCCTCCTCCTCCTTCTTCAACTTCTGTTTTTTACTTATTGTTTTCCATGATACAGTTTTTTTTTGTTATTAACATTGTATTATGTGATACAGTTTTATAGGCACTGGGAGAAGATTCCCACCTCTATACCCTCCCCCTGGTGGATTCCTCACCTTGCCTGCATAACCACGTTCAAGATTAGTTGAGATGTCCTTGCCACAGACAGTTACGCTCGATTAAGTCGCGTTTTATAGTAGATAAGTTCGTGGCTCTTGGGGAGCCTTCTTTGAGTTGAAGGTAGCGTAACGAGAAAGTTCGGTCGTTACAAACGCACCAACCCTAGTCTCTCGCAACTCACACTTTATGGAATTCATTGGACATGTTGTTGGGCTAAACATATGTTGAAAAAATCATGCCAAGTTCTTCTACGAAAAATTGGGTTGAGAAGTATCAATGTGGTTCAAACCAAATAACGACCAAAACAACACAAAATTACAAGATAAATCAATCAGACAACATGTGGCATCTAACCTTTTGGGATTGCTTCTTTTCTTGGTTTTAGTTTCCAGTTGGGCCATTTAGCCACAAAGTCACTCTTTTATGTTCTTTTTTCATCTAGCTGAGTGTATTCCAGGGTGGTAGGATGAACAAAGTATCTTATCAATGTCTGTTGATGGGCATTTTGGTTGTTCATTTTTTTGTAATTATGATTGTGTGAGTGAAACATGGGCTGCATGTTGGTTTGTCGTAAAACTGGTGTGTTGGTCTATTATAGGCGTGTAGTGTGGGTTTCTGTAAGCAGGGAACATTTTGGGTTGTTTAAGTGTTCTCCGGATATGATTTCATAAAGCTGTACCCATTTGGCCGTTCCCCCAGTCAGTGGGTAGGGTTTTTCCCGCCCATCTGCAGCAGTGTTCGTTTGTGTTCTTGTTTATGTGGGGCCACTTTCTGGTGTTAGGTTGGTACTCAACGCAGTTATATTGGATTTTGTATTGCCGGGCGCTGGACACAATTTTTTATATGTTTGTTTGCCATTTGGATTGGGTTCCTTTGTGAAATGTTATGCACATTTCCCGTGCCTTTTTGCGTGGCTTGTTTGTTTTGGTTTTTTTGGTTGTTGTGAAGTGTTCTGTTATCAGCGATAAGTTTTTGTAGGCACAAGGGTTTCCCCTTCCCCTCCCCTTCTTGCCTTACCGATTTCCCCAACCCCCAATTTGCTCCCACGTTATCACAATAGTATAGTTCCATAGTGCAAATTACTAACTTAACTTTCTGATATTTAAAGGTAGTCCCTCCTGGTGTAATGTAGAGGTGATAAGTTTCATTGGCAGTCCTATTTGTTTAGGAATAGAAGCTCATACTTGCCCGTGTGCTAGTCTTCCTTGTATGGTTCATATATACATTCTTTGCATAGTGGCTGCTTTCTATCCGGGAGTCTGTGATATTTCTCCTTTTGGAATTGGTTTGCTTCACTAAGCAAAATGCCTTTCAGGTGGACCATTTTGTTGCAAATGATGAAATTTCATTCTTTTTAATGGCTGAATAGTATTCCCTAAAGTAGATGTACCACTTTTTTTTTTTTAATCCATGGCTCTGTTGACAGGCATCTGAGTTATTTCCTTGTCTTTGTGAATTGTACTGCTCTAAAAGCAGGATTGCAGGTGACTCTTTAGAATGTAGATTTCACTTGATTTGGATATATTTTCAGGAGTGGTATAGCTGGATCATATGGAGATGAATTCTTAGATGTCTGTGCACTCTCCATACTGATTTTCATAATGGTTGTACTAGTTTCCATTCCTACCAACAGCACGTTAGGGTGTCTTTCCCCCCATATCCGTGCTAATAGTTGTTATTTATTGATTTCTGTATGTAGACCATTCTCATTGGTGTTCCATGGGACCTCACTGTGGTTTTTATTTGCACTTTCCTGATAGCCAGGCAGACTGAGCATTTTAAAAATGTGTTTATGAGCCTTTTTAATATCATCTTTTCAAAGTATCACTTCAAATGTCCTTTGTCCATTTCTTAGCTGGGTTACTTGTTTGCTGTTGTTAAGTGTCTGGAGTTTCTTGTAAATCTTGGGTATTAGTCCTCTATCTGTTGTGTAATTTGCAAATATTTTCTCCCTTTCTGTTGGTTGTCTCTTCGTTTATTAACTGTTTCCCTTGCAGTGCAAAAACTTCTTAGTTTGATGTAGTCCCATTTGTTGATTTTTGCTTTAATTGCCTGTGCTTTGGGGAGCTTCTCTGAGAAGTCTTTGCCTACAGCTGTGTCTTGCACAGTTTTCCTGATGTTTTTCCTTAGTAATTTGATGGTGTCAGATCATATGTTTAGATCCTTGATCCATTCCAGTTTGAAAAATTGGAAAATATCCAATTTTCCCAACACCATTTGTTAAAGAGACTACTCTTTCTCCTTGGGTTGTTTTTGGTTCATTTGCCAAAAATTAGTTGGTTGTAGATGTGGGGGGTCACTTCAGGGGTGTTTATTTTGTTGCTGGTCTTCAGGTCTTTTTTCGCGCCAGTACCAGGCTGTTGTGATTATCACTGCCCTGTAGTATATCATGAAGTTTGTTATTGTGATAGCTCCAGGTTTTATTGTTTGAAAGCTTTAGCTGTTTGAGGGCTCTTATATTTTCATATGAATTTTAGCATCATTTTTTTTCTGGCTCTGAGAAGAATGTTGTTGAGTTTTTATTGGAATTACATTGAATCTGTAGATGACTTTTAATTATGTGGACATTCTGATGATATTGATTCTACCAATTCAAGAACACCGGGAACATTTTTTCATGATTTGATGTCTTCTATTTTTTTTTTTTTTCTGCTTTGTAGTTATCATCATTATAGAGATCTTTCATATCCTTGGTTCGGTTTTTCTAAGGTATTTGAAGTTTTTTTTGCCTCTTAATGAGACTGATCTTGAAAAGTTTTTTTTTTTTTCAGATATTATTTGTGTATAGCAAGGTGATTGGTTTATTGGTTGATGTGATTAATTTTGTAAGCTATGAACTTGCTAAATTCTCTAATGAGTTCGATGAGTTCCAGTAGTCTCTTGTTGAGTCTTTGGTTCCCCTGTAGAGAATCATGTCCTGTGCAAACAGGGATAATTTGACTTTCTCCTTTCTAATTTGTGTTCTTTTGATTTCTTTTTCTTGCCTGATAGCTCTGGCTAGTAGTTTCAGTCCGATGTTCAGGAGCAGTGATGAGAGTGGACTTCCTTGATTGATTCCAGATCTTTGTGAGAATGCCTCCAGCTTCTCCCCGTTGAATCTGATGTTGGCTTTGAATTTTTCCTATATTGCCTTGATTGTGTTAATTTGGTTGAAGTTTTAACATGCAGGCTTGCTTAATGCCCTATCGTGAGGTCTACCTTGAAGAAGGCTTTATGCCCTGATGAAAAGAATATATACTCTGCATCTGTAGGATGAGATATTCTGTAGATATTGATTAAGTCCACTTGGCCCATGGCATATGCTAAGCTCTGTTGTTTCTTTGTTGAGTTTCTGTCTCGTTGATCTGTCCATTGATGAGAATGGAGTGTTGAGAGCTCGCACTATTATTATCTATGTCTCCTTTTTTTAGCAATTGTTTTGCATAGCCAGGTACCCTCACGTTGGGTGCATATACACTTACTAAAGTTGTTGATTTTTGTTAAATGTGTCACTTGATCATTTTGTAAAGTCTTTCTTCTTTTCTTTTAGAGGATTTTGTTAAAATCTATTTTGTCCAATATTAGAATGGCTATTCCAGCTCATTTTTCCTTCCCATTGGCTTAGAACATTTTTTTAATCCTTTGGCTTTTAGTATGCATGTATCTTTGTTGATGAGATGTGTTTCCTGAAGCAGATAGATGGACCTTGTCTACATCCTTCAGTTGCAGAGTTTAGGTCCTTGTTTTCAGGGTTATTGCTGAGTAGCAATTTGGTTCCATCACTTTAATACAGATTTTCTCATTGTTTGATTCATGGTTTTGTGTGTGTAGGAGGGGGTTAGGGGTGGCCTTCCTGGGATGTTCTCCACTTCTGTCTTCTTGATTATGGTGGGTGCTATTCTCATTTTCTGTGTGTAGCGCATCTTTAAACATCATTTGTAGGGCTGGTTAGGTAGAAACAAGTCCTTTCAATTCCTGCTTGTTTTGAAAGTTCTTTATTCCATCTCTATGTAAAAATTAAAGCTTTGCTGGCTATAGTATTCTGGGTTGGCAGTTTCTTTTTTTGAGACCTGGATTATGTCTCTCTATTCTTTCCCAGCCTGTAGGGTTTCTGATGAGAAGTCAGCTGTGAATCTGATTGGAGATCCTCTATAGGTTATCAGACGCTTCTCATGTGCACATTTAGGTATCTTTAGTGTTTTGTGCTCAGCTATAGAAAGTTTGAGATAACCAGTTTCTCTATGAACCTCATGCAGTGCCCAGCCCTTGGGGGAGAGGACTGTTTCTCCCCCTCAGCACCAAATGCAGCAGGGAAACCATATTTCCTGGATGTGGAGCTGGCCCTGGGATAAATGCACATTAGGTCTTGAAACATCAGTATCACATTCTGCTGTGACATCCTCAGTCCTTGGTGAGGCCCTGGGGACTACAAAAGTCCCTCTCACCTCTGAAGGCTGAAGGAACAGAGTGGAGGGGCCACATGTGCACTTGCTGTCACCATCCCTGACCCAGAGTTTTGCCGTGCAGCTCCACTGCACAGGTCTGCAGTGCCTCGCTGGGTGCTGCTGCCTCTCGGTTGCAGTTTCCCATCCCACTGGAGTTCTCTGTTGCATTAGCGTGTTGCAGGTGCTTGGGCTCATGGCCTGCAGTTGGTAGTCCTGGACCTTCACCACCTCCTGTTGTCCCCCTCATTCTACAGAAACTCCTGGCCCCTCTTACTGGTCCTTCAGAAATCTAACTCCCTCTGTTTTTCCTTTGTTGCAGGTACAACTTGGACCCATTTGAGAGTCACACTGATGAGATGCTCTGGCAGGTTCTGGAGAGAACATTCATGAAAGACACGGTAGGTCTCTGGGGCTGCACCAGGCACAGTGTGGCAGGCAAACCTGGGCCAAAGCTCATCAGTGGGCACCTGTGTGTCAGCAGGATGCAGTCCTCACTGCTCTTTTTTTTTTTAAGACTTATTTTGTTTATTTGAAAGGCAGATTTACAGATGGTAGAGTGACACAGAGAGCGATAGAGAGCTTCTGTCCATTAATTCACTCCCCAAACATCTGCAATGACCAAGGCTGGGCCAGGTGCAATCCAGGAGCCAAACGTTTCTTCTAGATTTCCCATGGGGGTGCAGGGGTTCAGGTTCTTGGGTCATCCTCTGCTGTCTTCCAAGGACATCTTTAGCAGGGAACCAGGGCTGGGGTAGAGCAGTGGGATTCCAACCTGTACCCACTCGAGATGCCAGGCATTGCAGAAGATGGCCTTACCTACTGCACCCCACTGACTTTTTATCAAAGCACCCCTAGACACTGCTTCTGGGATCTGCCATGATCCATCATGAGCTCCACATGTGTATATGTTGCATCAGTTGACCTCACAGCAGTCCTCTGCGGTTGGCCCTCTTGTCCCTTGACTTAAAGATGTAGAAATTAAAACTCAGGGCAGTAACAGGTCCAGGCTGTTGAGCTGTAGATTGTGACCTGAACCCTGATTCCAGAGCTGTGGGAGCACACTAGTAGCTCACAACAGAAAATTCAGAGGAAAGTGAGGGACTGTTTGGGAGGGGCTTGCCCTGGAGGAGCTGCAGCCCCAGTAGGGATCAGCAGGCCAACAGCCCCAGCCCTGTAGCCTGAATGACTCATCTCTTCCAAGACTTGGCACCCATGTGAGCCTCTCTCTCTCAGATGCTATGACTTGTTCTTGCAGCTGCATCAGACCCCAACTTGCCTTTTCCTCTCTTGGTGACCAGAAAATTCTTGCATCCCGTCACTGTTTTGTCATGGGGGTAGCAACCCCGGTGCCGTTGCCACTTGGCTCTGTGTTCATTGCAGCTGGCAGTGCCTGATTGGTACTCCTTGGTGAGTTGTCCACAGGGTTCCACGGGTCCAACTGTGATTCTAAATTATGCAAGTCTGCCTCCTCTCTAGTCCTTCCTCAAGCCGTGCCTGTTTGCAGTGTCAAAATGATTGTTGTTTTGTGCCTTTCCCACAGTAAAATAAAGCCAGCGGATGAATTCACAAGAGGAGGCCATCAACAGGAACGAGGCGGAACCACTGTATAGATCATCAGCATCAATGCGCTGCTTTCTCTGCTTTTTTTTTTATATATATATATAGATAATGAAACTCCCGGAAAAATTACAGGCAGAAGTCACAGAAAATGGGGAAAACTTCTCCGTAGGGGAACGCCAGCTGCTCTGTATGGCCCGGGCGCTTCTCCGTAATTCAAAGGTAAGGAGACAGCATGGAAAGTGGATCTGTCAAATTGTGACTATTTCCTGTGGTGCTCTCCCTGTGGTTCTCCTCCAAAAGGGAGGTAGAGCCACCGGTTTGTCTTTCAGTAAAGAGATGACGATTGAGCCACTTAACAAACAGTCACGTTTTTGTTTCTTAAGACTAACACGAGGGTAAAAATGGAAAAATCACAGCTATTTCTGGCGGAGGCGCCTTGCTCCCCTGAGGTTCTCCCCTGCCGGGAGGTCTAGTTTCCATATTTTCTCTAGGATGACTTTGGCAATTCTGCCTTTGCAATTTCCCCACTTTGTCCCTGAGCCGTTCTGAGTCCTTATAAACAGGACCCAGGACACTGGAAAAGGCCACCAGGATGCTCTCCTGTGGACATTGTGGGATGGACACTTTGCTCTCCTAGGGACTTAGCCACCCTTGCTTGCTGCTTTCCAGGAGTCCTCTGCTGTTGCTATAGAAATCTACAGAGACCCCATGAAGGTGAAACCCATTGTGCTTGTCATGCTAAGGACAGGGGAAAGGGAACCTGCTGTAATGCCACTCGGGGTGGTATCTGTGTATCTTGTGCTCATGATAAGGCTCAGTCTCCTTTCACTAGCCAGGAAATAGATCCTGGGGTGGGAGTGAGGGGGGTGAGTCAAGCAGCTAGACAGAGGTTGGAGCACAGTTAGGGACCGAGGTCAAGCTCTTTGATTTGCTGTATCAAAGGGGTTGGGGCAGGCAGACCAATCTCCTTTCCCTTCAAAAAGATGCCCCACGTCCTGATAACATGGAAACTTCCACACATGAGTTACAGACTTGAGAGTCTGGCTTCTGGAGGCCAGAAAAGGTCAGGGAAAAGTTTATTGCTGAGAGCCCAGAGAAGGAATGTGGCCCTAAAAACCAGTGCCTTGGTTTTAGGGCTTCTAACTTTTAGGGTTGTAGGTTAATAAATATGGCTTTCAGTCTCTAAACTCATGGTAATTTCTTAGAGACAATGATAGGAGAACAAATGTCAGTGCTGTTCTTTTTAACTTAGGCTGATTCACCCTAGCACAGTATACACTGTGTAGGGCTTCTTCCAGCCTGTCTAGATGGTTAGAATAAGCCATTTACCAAGAGGTAAGCTCCTTGCTCTAGCAAGTCCCTCAGAGGAAGGGGAAGGTGATGTGATGGGACTTACATCTCATTCTTTGCAAAGACTTAGCTCATTACTTTTCAGCTTTTCTTCTTGTAAGCAGAACGAAAACTATGAATTTACCTCTCAATACAGCTTTGGCTCAGTGTGACATGTAGGGCATTCCCTTCTCCAACAGATCATTCTCCTAGATGAAGCCACTGCGTCAATGGACTCCAAGACGGACACACTCGTCCAGAGCACCATCAAGGATGCCTTCAAAGGCTGCACCGTGCTGACCATTGCCCACCGCTTGAACACGGTTCTCAACTGTGACCGGGTCCTGGTCATGGAAAATGGCAAGGTGCTGCAAGCTCATGTCAGTGTTACCTCCCTGTGGTTTGGGCATTCTAGTGGGTGGGCGTTTTCTGGAAATTTCATTTCTTCTTCTCTGACTTTCAGGTGATTGAGTTCGACAAACCTGAGGTCCTTGCTGAAAAGCCAGATTCTGCATTTGCCATGTTGCTAGCAGCAGAAGTCCAATTGTAAACATCCATACTGCTGAGTTTAGAGGAGAAGGAAGATATGTGGGATGTTGGTTGAGTGTTGCTAGCAGCAAGAGCTGTCACCTGGACAGGCTGCCACCTCCCACTTGGGGGTACAGGCAGCCGAGGCCACAGTGCTATCCCCTACCTTGCCCGCAGTTCTTGCCACCTCTCCTCATTTGGTGGATTTGGGCTAGTTCTGAATAGAAGATGAAGTCAGTGGATTTAAAAACTGGCCCTTACTTCCTAATTCCCACAAGGGCCCCTCATGTGTACCTACTAATACCATTGTACCGCCTGAGAACGGAAATGCTGTAACTTTCCACTGAAAGCTGCTCCAAGCAAACAGAACAGGAAAAATGCCCAAGGATGGCATTTGCAAGGGTTTCCTGGCCTTGCTTTTAACAGGGAGAAAAGCAGAATTCTCTGCTTGCTTAACCCCTGTTCATGTCTGCCTTGACTGCATGACAAGCAGCAACCACACAGATCCGCAGTCTGAAAGATGGGTTACAGTGTTGGCTGAAAAAAAAAGTGTTTAATCATCTTATGTGTTCAATTGATGTATTAGAATAACCAGGAAAACAAAATGCCAGAGAAGCTCTGTAAATGACATTTTTATATCTTCTTTATTGGTCATTAAAATCTAATAGGAAATTAAACTACCCTGAACTGCTCCCCTACAATTATTTAACTGAGGGTGTTGCAGTTTCTGTATGGCTTCTTCTCTCAGATCCCTATCTCTTTCTCCCCGACTCAGTATTATAGAATCACAATTGTTTACTGTGTCTTTCATGGTTTGCTGTAATGGATGGGGGTAGCCCTGGGAGTGAATGCTGTAACAAGTGGTGACATTTCAAAAGGAAAACAAATGGCAAGTCCAGTGGGTTCCTAGGCAGGTCTGCTGAGGGCACCACAGAAGTTCTGGCCAGATTTCCTGCCTTGATTTCTGAGGTCCCTGATGTTTCCTGGTCCCCATGCTAACTCCCTAGCACCCAGGCTAAACTGTAGACACAGCACAGGACAAAGATTCCATTCACTGCCCCTCCCTGTTACTCTCTGAGTCTTGGTCATGCACCTGCCCCTCTCCAGCCATACCTGAAGATATGCACCATGAATGCTGAAGAAATTTACACCTGCAGCATGCACAAATGGCAACATCTGATGAATTCAATCAGATACAGCCACGGAGGGTGTACTGGCGTTTCACATACACATCTGCTGATTCCTGGCTTCAGATATCAGATTGTGATAGGACACCTGGGACAGGACAGTCTGCTGGCTGCTGGAATGGGTGCTGGCAGGGGTTTCTTCCCATTGCCAGGTTTGTATGCAGTGTTGGAAACTTTCTTGAGGTCCATGGAAAGAGGGGACAATAGATGGAGAACACACCCTGGCTCAGGACATTGTGCTGCTTTTGTGCTGCTTGCTGGCTCATAGCCCCACCCTGCAGACCTCCCATCTTGCCACAGTACCCAACGCTTTTCTCTTGAAGCCACAATTTGAGCTGGGTTGTGGGCAATGCACAAGATGCACACCCTTCTTCTTTCTGGGATGATGTGGGGGGTTTTGATCTGAGTGAAAGTCAACCCCATCTGGCCCCAGAGATTCCACTCATCTTCCTGAGCTCAAAGTGCATGGATCTACAACTGACTGTAAGCAGAGTGATTTTCTTTTTCTCTCTCTCTTCTCTCTTCTCTTTCTTCCTTCCTTCCTTCCTTCCTTCCTTCCTTCCTCCCTCCCTCCTTCCTTCCCTCCCTCCCTCCCTCCCTCTCTCTCTCTCTCTCTCTCTCTCTCTTTCTTTCTTTCTTTCTTTCTTTCTTTCTTTCTTTCTTTCTTTCTTTCTTTCTTTCTTTCTTTCTTTCTTTCTTTCTTTCTTTCTTTCCTAACATTTAAACTCATATGCAGAGAGAAGGAAGAGACACAGAGAAGAAGATTTCCTGTCCATTGATTCACTCCCCAAGTGGCCACAATGTCTGGAACTGAGCTAATCTGAAGCCAGCAGTTTCTTCCGGGTCTCCCACGCAGGTGCAGGGTCCCAAGGCTTTGGGCCATCCTCAGCTGCCTTCCCCTGACACAAGCAGGGAGTTGAATGGAAAGCAGGGCAGCCAGGATTAGAACCAGGGCCCATATGGAATCCCAGATTATACAAGGTGGGGGCTTTAGCCGTTAGCCTACCGAACCAAGTCCAACAGAGTTTATAATTCTCATCTCCTCCTGAACCTCCATGCAAGTTCTGCCTGTTTTGCTCACCTTCACTCCCTACAGCGTAAGATCAGAAAGACTCAGAAAGGACTCAGAGATTTTATTCTTGTCATTCAAGTGAACACATCTGAAAAATGACCCAGAATTTTTGGTTTAAAAAATGTGAAATATTCTTTGCAGAGAGCTGGGATCACTTTGGTCAGTACAGCATGATTTAAAATGAATTGAAAAATGCAGGAGGTCGTGGTGGGGTTAGATGGACAATCAAAGAAATCGCTTTTCTTTGGGTCCCGTGTGGAAGGTCACTGCTGGGTGAGGCTAAATGGGGCACTCAAATCTTGAAATACATGCTGATTTCTGCAGAGTCCCTGCCTGATGTGCAAGCTCATGGCTCCTGCTGAAAAGCTGTCCCTCGGCAGGGCTAGCATTCAAGGGCCGGCAGGTCAGCGCTTTCCATTTTAGCCCCAAACACAGCTCTGCCAGTCTGATCTTTGCCTTCAGCCCAAGAGGCTCTTGCAGTACTAGGCCTATTTCACCTGCCCAAAAATATATACCCAAAGATAACTAGGTTTGGTTGGTGGCAGCTTCATATTAAAAAAAAAAAAAAATTGCTCGAGAGGTAGAGAAAAGAGGAAGAAAACGAGACAGAAGGAGTGTGCTCCAATTGAAAATGGAATTTGGGAGCTCAATCCTCCACCATCATTGGAGCCACAACCTGCTGCCTCCCGGGATCTGCACTAGCAGGAAGCTGGAGCAGGACCAGGAACCTAATCCAGGGACTCCATTATAGGGTACAGGCCATAACAGCAAACACACTCTTTGTTACAATAAATTACAGCACCAGACTTAGCTTTTTAACTATTTTACATGTAAAGTTCAGTGGCATTAAATACAAAGATTCACCGCTATCCGGGTCCAGATCTTTTTTATCTTTCCAATCTACGGCCATGAGCTTTCCATCCCTCCTCGCCAGGCTACTATCTAATTCCATATATTTGTTGGTGGTGCTGCCTTTAAGGGGAATGGTCTCACATTGGTTCTCTCATGATGGGCTTGGGCTGTGCAGTATCTTCACTGCTCAGTCTTGTGGCTGGGTGTGTCAGCATTTCCCTTCTTCTGACCCTGCATTCCCTCAGTGAATTGTAAGGGTGTATGTCTTCTCATGCCCATCCTGGACTGGCATTTCTCCTCCTCCTCCTCATCCTCTTCCTCCTCTTCCTTGTCCTTCTTCTTCTTTAATTTATTTTTTATTGCAAAGGCTGATATACACAGAGGAGGAGAGACATAGAGGAAGATCTCCCATCCAATGATTCTCTCCCCAAGTGGCTTCAATGGCTGGAGCTGAGCCAATCTAAAGCCAGGAGCTTCTCCCAGGTCTCCCACATGGGTGCAGGGTCCCAAGACTTTGGGCTGTCCTCCACTGCCCTCCTAGGCCACAGGCAGGGAGCTGTATGGGAAAGGGACTATTTGGGAAGATCTCATTAACAAGAAATGGAGCAAAGGGAATGGAGAATCTGGAGACTCCTGCTGCTGCAGAGTCAACTAAGCCACGGGGAAGAGAAATGGCACCCCTCCAGGGAAAGGACCAAGCCTCCTGTGACTAGCACTGCTGGAGACACACAGTCCCCTGCAATTCACATTGCCCTGACCGCTCTTTTCTGACCATGCAGTGAGAGCATCGGGCGAGCCAAGCATCCTCTGGTGCATCTGTACGAATTGCTTGTCCTCACCGCTGCATTTGGTGAATTCAAGGTCATCTGCATATCTCCAGCATTTGGAAGAGGGTGAGGCTGCTGTGCAGAGAGCATGTGTGGCTTGGCCACCACATGGGTTCCTTGGCAAGTGCTCCTAATGGTGCCACAGCCCTAAGCAGATGCCGAGCTCTCTCTGATGGGGACCTTGTAGAGCCAGGTATGTTGCTGTCCAAATTGCTGGGAGAAGGGAGTAGCTGGCAAGAAAAAGCCATGGGCTCTGAGACGTGGTCCCTTCCCAGCCTTAAAGTGCTTTGGCCGCCAGCAGCTGGATTTGTAGCTTCTCTTCCCCAGGCCCCCCTTTCCTTCCTGCTGGAGCCACAATGCCCACACACTAGGAGGGTGGAAGGACCTAGAGATTTCCATTCTGCCGAGGGCTGCGCTGAGCTCATGGGTACCAGCACCTTGTCTGTGGTGTGAAATGCACACTTGCCAGTTGCCTAGGGGACTCGGCCTCGGTGGGACCTTGCTTGAAATTGTCTCCTTCCTGAGCCCTTCCCCTCCCCTGTAGGACTTCCCTGTAGCTCTTACAACTCTGTTTCCATCACTCCAAGCCTAGCAACCCTTGTCACAAGGTCAGCTTCTGGGAATTCTAACCTGAGGAGTTAGGTCAGAAGAAATCCATGCTCCAGCTCATTGTTACCAGTTGCAGGCCCCTCTGTAGGGATCCTGGCCATTCTATCCTAGCACCCAGGTGTATCAGGCAGTGCCAACTCTACCCACTATCTCCAGGGTGAGCCTGAGACCTAGACCAGGTCCACTATAGTTGTCACAATTGTGTGGTGCTGCAAAAGGTTTCAGTTTTGACACCCATGGCTTAGCCTAGGCCGAGTCGAGCCCAATCCAAGAGTTTAGCCCAAACCAGGCCAACCTGCGTCATGGCTGAGGCCCAGGGAGCACTGTTCTTATCCTTTACCCTGTGTAATGCTGGTGGAATGCAGATACTATCTTAAAGAGTTTTACTTGAATTTGTTCATTTTCCTCTCAACAGCACATCTCTTGTTTTCCACATTTTTCTGGTGGGGGCATTCAGAGCTACTGCCTGTATATTTGTATCATTTCCAATTGCAAGTATTCGATCTAATCCTGGGTGCCTTATCTCTGTAAAATGTGGGACTTTGGGGGCCTGTGTCAAGGTGTAGGAGGTTAATTGCCTGTGATGCCCACTACTATCCCTGGAGTATCAGTCTGGGTCCTGGCTATTACTGCTTCTGATCCAGCACTCCCCGCCGATGCACTTGGAAAACAACAGATGATGGCCCACCTACCTGGGCCTCTGCCACCCACATGGAGACCCTTACGGAGTTTCTTGCTACTGATTTTGGCCTGGTCCAGCCCCCCACCATTGTTGCCATTTGGGAGAATAAACCAGCAGATCTCTCTTTCCTTTTCAAAATAAATAAGCCTTTAAAAAAATCAGAGGTGGTACCTTCGAAGGGATTAGGTCATGAGGTGAAGCCCTCATAAGCAGGTTGCCTGCCTTTGTGGAAAAGGCCCGAGGAGTTTGCTGACAGTCCCTACCATGGGTGGCACAGGAGGCACTGGGAGGAACAGACTGTCAGCATAGCCCCAATCCTCTGGCACCTTGACTTTGGTCTTCACAGTCTCCCAAACTCTGAGTGACATGCTTTTGTAACCTACACATTGCCTTGCGCTTTGTAACTGCAGCCAGAGCGGATAAAGACCGTGAGGAACAAAGGTAGGATAAG